CTGTTGTATCGTCAAACCAGTATCGATAAATCACAATCATAATTAGCGGCCAGACAACAAAGTATCAGCCCTGTCACATAACAACCAAGCCTGTAGTGAAAATCCCTCGGAAGAAAAACACTATAAGCCACAGAGCGATAGGGAACAAGATCCAATATACGATGAAATAACAGACGGAATAAACACATATACCAGCCTAAAGTCTGCAGGATTACAGAAGCGTGACAGTAGCCGCTATGCAGGGTTGTGTTACGCCCCTAATTCAGTCTCTCATTACCAAAACGTCCCGCCTATTCAGCACAAGGGGTTTCGTTCGAGTGCAGCCGGCACTGGTTGTCAGGATGAGTGACAGTTTATAACTACTTCTTTGCCTTCTCTATGTTTTTTTTTTTCGAATTCTTTTTCCTTTTTACTAAGCTAACCGAACTTTTCAATCGGGGAGTAAAATTATTTATTCCTTGTTCAACTAACTCCTTCATCTCATCAGGGCAAAGATTTTTCTCCAAGTCCAAAGTCACCACGGTGGAAGTAAGGTAGCCTTTAATTTGCGAAAAAGAAAAATTCCACTCACTGTCAGACCTGAGTCGTATGTTTTGCTTAGACTTGTAACGCATTTTTGTGTAGCATATTGATATTTCAAAGTGCCATCAACGACGAACACTTATTCTTCTTTTTTGGGATCTACGTCGGCCACGGCTGTTCTCCCGAAAGTGAAAGTGTTTCTGACAGGAAATCATATATTTCTTTTGAAAAATGCCGGAGTTGATCTAATCCCCGATGTATATTATAAGGCAAACATTTAGCGCAACATTGCACATCTAGAGCTGTGAGAGTTATGTTCCGTTAGATCTGTAAATATTCTTATACACTCTTAAGAGGTGATCCGTGGCCTTAAGTGGCCTCTGTTTGAATATGTAAATCTTTGCGTTATGCACAAGTCAACAGTGACTTTTAGAAGATTATACGACCTAACTATGTTTCTGAGCTTTAGAATACATAGGTTCTGGGGGTGATACGCCTTGGAGTACAATATTGAACACGATGGCCGGCTATAACGAGATTTGATTTAATATTAACAAATTGGTCTTAGCTGAAAGTAGGAGAAAGTAAAGCGAATTTTGATAATCTAGGTCTAAGTCTTAGGCATAAAAAAATTGTCTAAGTACCTCCACATTTCAAAGGGCTATTGGATCCATCAGCGTGCGTAGTTTGGTTTATCCAGAATTTTGTTTCTTTAGAATTTTGATGAAGTTATCTGTTATTTCAGTTTGCGCTTCTAAGGTGCTAGAATCAGCGTAGTAGCAACGCAGATGCATTATCATCCTGACATCGCTGGGACGATATACTTATATGACGTTTAACCAAAAAAAAAATGAAAACAGTGAAATAAAATTTAGATAATGTGAACTTAACTCAGAAGGGTGACGCTGCATCTGTCAAAATTATTGATCAATAAGTTACATCCAGTCTCCCATTCTTTTCCCCATTTTGAATTCATTCTTGCCTTTACCCCTGTGCCAAGGACACCAAAGGTGACCTAAGAAAGTTTGTTTGATTGATTATTTATCGAAACCAAGATATAGATGCATGATTGTTGCTGAGCAAGTCAAATTCGCAGGAGGCTTAACGTCAAGGCGAGTGCTCGCATGCAGCCCAGCCATCAACCTATCCAAGAATAGATTACAAATAGCTCAGCGTGGAAAGCTCAGGGGGAGAGGAGGGCAGGCTTTTGACTTATCTGTTATGGTGGATTTGCTTTTTGCTTAAAATGGACACCTTATTTGAGTTGTTATGAGACTGGATTTTTGGACCTCTTTCAGACCCATGTTTTGTGGCATCCCTTCTAGTGGACTAAATCATTTTGGCTGGGGAAGGGGTGGGTTGGGGTACGGTTCGGTAAAATCATGAAAAATTAGTTTCTATGAAGTAAAGCATCATGATTCCCTAGTAAAACTACATCAAATGTCATTTCAACTTAACATATCCAGAAACTATCAACTAATTTTTACCAAATTGTACCAAATTGGTATGAGGCGTCATTCAAAAGGAAATGATACAGCTGCCTTTGTCCTTTAAAAATACAGCTCACAAACTCAAATTTACCACGCAGCAAACTTGTTTTCTAAAATGAATCAAAATGAACACGCCCTTCTGTTTTCACTTGCATCTTCCGCAATGTACGTAACGAGCGTAGTACCATTGAAGAAGTGTGGTAGACTGACAGCTCGAAGAGAAACTATAATATGCGGTGCCAAGTTGCTGTTGTCAAGTGCAATGGGTGTACTTCAATTCGCTAAGGCTTTCAAATTTTCGTTCAAGCTTACTCTAATATCTAAAGGACATCCCATTAAAACCGATGGGGTTACATCTGTAAGCGTGAATCAATGCAATGATGATTGGAAACCTTTCTTGCAATTCCCTCCAGCTATCTGCCAGAGAATTCATGTACTATTCGCTCATAAGAGCTTTCGCCATGCAAAAAATAAATAAATAAGTAAAAAATTGGACGAAAGCTAAGGGGTGGGGAAATGTCTTTTATGGCGTTATAAACACGCATATAGTACCATAGCTCCCTCTTCCTAATCCAATGAGCTTATTTCCGGCCGCATTCTCGAATTTACAGAGCACCTTTTCAGGGACTACGTAGACCTTAATTCGAGCTTCATAGATCATGCAACTGTTACACACATTTGAGTAAGACTAAGAAAATTTGAATGCAATAAAAGCTTACCTATTTTAGAAATAGAATCTCTTCCTCTTGGAGTCATAAGCTTGACAGATAAATCAGTTTGGAAAGTGACTTACATGTGTTGTGGAATGCCTGCTGCATCTGTTAAAGACTACTCCCTCTCGGCTAGGAGGAATCTCTACGTGTAAATGTTACGGACCAAGAGGAATGCCATTTTCACACTTCACTATGTCAGACAAACACTTTTTAATTCGCTGCACGGCTGACTTTGTCATACCCGGCCTGTCTTGATCCCGATTCAGAAAGGAATTCCGACGTATATTTTAGATTGCGTAGAAACAAACAAAATTACTTCAAGAACGATGATTTTAATAAATAAAAATTAAGCACATCGCAAACAGAAGATGAACATGTGCTTGGAAGCAGGCGCTTTGCGAGAAGAGTGAATTTGAGGGTGGTAGAAGAGCGCTTACTGAATTCACGGATATCAGCCGAATTTAGTAAAGGCGTAGAAGTGAAAAGGCGGGAACCAAGTATTTACTAGTGACGTTATTGAGTACACGTATGAAAAAACGCATATATTTCAAAGTTTGTTAGCCTGTGCAAAAAGTAAACATATTTAGATATTTTGTTAGCATACTACCTATCACTACTCAAATCCATACAACACAAGCTTTCCTCAAGCTATCTAGAGAACAATAGCTACTATTTAATTTGAAAAGGAAGGCAGATAGGCAAGTGTAAAGGGATGAAGAGCGCACAACCGATTCAAAGGTCTTGATTAATTCTCACTGCAATGCTGCTAAACAAGGAAAGTGCCAGAAGGCTATCTTAATATTAGTTTTAATCATGGGTTTTCAGTCTAACAAGCCTTAATCATCAAAACATTTCTAGAGTACTGAATATTTTCCACAATGATTGTATTGTCAATCTCAGCTGGCGCAAAGATATAAATGTCTCAGAAAACCGTTCTGTTGGCTTATTATGACTATGAAGACTTCGTCAAGTTATTGCGTCGCAATTCCTTCGTTATTCCCTATAGTTGTAATTAGACCGTTTAATTGGATAGTTGTCTTTAATCGGACACCTACACTTCTCTTTCTCAATTTCGCAATGTAATGCCATATACATTAATGATCAAGTTTGCAGACCAAATAAGATGCTTCGAAGTGAGGAGGGAAGTAATTTAAACGATTCTAGTAACAGCATAAGGCGAAACGTGGTTGCGATAAGTCGGAGGTTGAAATGGGTTGTCCCTCTGACGACCGACGTTGGCATTCTCATATGTTCCTACTTCTGATATCTGAGCAGATTAGTAACAGATTATAACAACATTAGCCATCATCAGCTTATACGGCTGTTTTTTTTTCAGTCGGTAACACCAAGATGTCATGTTTCATCATTACAAGTAGAAACTCTTGGCGGATACGAAAACATTTCAAACTCGTAATGGCTTCAGGTTTTGTGGGTGTAAGAATTTCACCATGTGATCTACGGCAAACCGAAGACTTCCGCCCTATCCAGTTTAAAACCCTTGACGAACTTGAAAGGTTTGCAAGGCAAGAGAGCTCACCTTTAAGTTGAGTACTCTGAATTTGTAACTTAGTCTGTAATTTAGTTTGCTGCTTCTATGATGGCTGACAACACACCCTTTCAATCTTTCCTCCCTTTTAATCATTTGGATCATGGTTCCTTTAATTTAGCAGTTTATTAATTTTCTCATGGTCCCTTGAATTACGATGCCAACCGTCTTGAAACATTATTATTTAATCCTGTTGAAAGGCCCGAATTATTTAATCCACTTTCTAGTCATCTGAATCCCGACAGAATTTTTTTCCCAGAAAATTTTCAGATCCAGATGTAATCGAGTCACTTTTCTTGGAAATTATTGTTCCCCACGGAAAAAAAATATTATTGTTGGTTGCGTATACAGACCACCAAATCAAAACACTGCTATGTTTATTGACAAATTCAACAATGTTCTCTCACTAATTTCTAAAGACAATACACATTGTTATGTGATGGGAGACTTTAACCAAGACCCTTCTCTAATACAATCATCAAGTTCCAACACAGGAATTTATTGACAGCTTATCTTCAAACACCTTTCTTCCTCTCATCTCCAATCCAACACGCCTCACCGCATACTCTGCGACGCTAATTGACCACATATTCACCAACAAACTTGCCCATAGTGTTTTAAGTGGCATTATTCTAAATGATTTATCTGACCACTCCGCAGAAGGAAAAGAAAAATTGTGATGCGCACATTCAATGAATTTCAAACGCAAAATGGTCCTCATTTCGCAACATGGAAGATCCCAATGAAGCCTACAATGATTTTATTGAAGAATATTCCAGAATCTATAACACTTGTTTCCCTTTAAAGGTTCTCAAAGGTAAACAAGTAAACAAGTTCTTTTCTCCATGGCTTAGCCCTGGACTTCTGAAATCCGTTAACAAGAAAAACAGACTCCACAAAAAGTTCGTCTCATCACCTTCCACATCTTCTGAGACGAAGTATCAAGCCTACAAAAACAAATTCACCCATCTTATTCGCATTGCCAAACGAAAATATTACGACTCCAAATTTGAGAATGCCAGAAATGACCTCAAAACAACTTGGAAATTGTTAAAAGCGGTTTTTAACAAGCGTAAAAGTATGTCATCTCCTCCCGCATCATTCAAAAGGCAGAACATTAACGGATCCAATGGAGATCGCTGACAGATTCTGTAAATACTTTACAAACATTGGTCCCAACCTAGCTAAATGTATACCCGGTGTGAATCCTTCTTTTCGTTCTTATCTTGGTGATAATAACCATCCCTCCTTTAACTTACAGCCCACCACAACTAGTGAACTGGAAAGCATTTGTAGCATGCATGTTCACTTCAAAGAAGGCTCCTGGCTATGACAGTATCCCAATGCATGTCATTAAGTTTTCATTTCACCTTAATTCTGCTCCATTGGCAGATACTATCAATCTATCTCTGCTAAAAGGCATTTTCCCGGACAAACTTAAAATTGCTAATTTATTCCCATCTTCAAAGCAGAGGATCCTAAGTTTTTTGAAAACTACAGACCTATTACTTTGTTGTCTAATTTTTCCAAATTTTTCGAAAACGTCATATACAATCGCTTAGTAGAATTTGCCGAAAAACACGATATACTTTACGGCTGTCACTTTGGATTTCGGAAAAATCACTCGACATCGCATGCACTAATTCATTTGGTAAATTAAATAGCTTCTGCAATCGACCTACACGAAAAAACGGTGGGTGTTTTCCTAGATATTTCCGAAGCATTTGACACTCTCAACCATCAAATCTTGTTTGCCAAATTGGAGCACTATGGTATCCGTGACGTAGCTCTGCAGTGGTTTAAAAGCTACTTTTCTTGCCGCCAGCAATTTGTCCAATTCAATCAAGCTTGCTCTGCAATGCGAACCATTAAGTGTGGTGTCCCTCAAAGTTCGATTTAAGGCCCTCTGTTTTTAATTCTATACATAAATGACCTCCCTAATACCTCTGAATTAACAGACTCACTGCTTTTCGCTGATGACACCAGTATCTTTTATTCCCACTCAAACCCAAAATGCTCAGAATCTGTACTTAATGATGAACTCCAAAACATTGATGTTTGGCTAAAATGCAATGAGCTCTAAGTTAATATAAAGAAAACTAAATACGTAATTTTTAAACCCAGACAGAAGAAGTTTAACTCCAGCATTTTTCTCTCCTTTGGAGGTAAACCCCTACAACAATCTAACGTATCTAAATTTCCTGGGGTCTATATTGATGATCATCTCACCTGGAAACACCATATCAGCTATGTATGTAAGCAAATCGCTAAATCAATAGGTATTATATTTAGGTCTCACTTTTTCCTATCCTCTACAACCAAACTCACTTTGTACTACACCTTAATTTATCCTTATATCGTTTATTGTAACTGCGTCTGGTCGTCCGGATACGTATCTAACTTAAATAAATAGAATTTATTACTTGCAAAAGCGAGCTATGCAGGCTATCACCAACTCAGACTATCGAGCCCATTCCGCTCTTTTATTCTCTAAACTAGGAATTTTAGATATTTTCCAAGTCAATACGTTTGAAATCGCCAAATTCATGTTTTATTATAGAAATAAGTTATTTCCCCCATTGCTTCCGTCAATCTTTTTATAACGAATAGCCAAATTCACAACTATAGTACCAGAGCAGCCAGTAATTATCGAACGCATTTGTGCCGTACAAATCTCAACCAATTTACAATGCTCTACCAAGTTCCTAAAATTTGGAACTCTCTTCCTGTTTCAGTCACTCGTTTCTCAAACCTTCTTAGTTAAAGAGACGAAAAAGCAAGAGTTTTTACTTAAATAATCACTGAGTTGGCCTAGCCGCACATTCGCAGCACTTTTTCTTTACTTTATTTATTAATGTAGGTGAGGTGGCTCTCCCATAAGCCCGGTGGCTTCCTGGGTCTCCTCGCCTTCAAGCTATAACCGCTATAAAAAAAACTTTTGTATTGTTTAAATAAGGCAAACAAAAGATGATGATGATGATGATGATGAAACTTTTTAGCGGCCTGTAAAAAAAAAGAAAAAAAATCTCGATTTTAATTTCGCACACAACTTGACGTTAACTGAAAGTAGAAGCCTGGCCAATGCATTTTTCAAAAACCAACTCTATAATACAACCTGAAAACTTCAATTCCCATTTGTTTTCTGAACGCTTAAGACTAGCTTATGTGCCTTCCTCGCTACAAAATTCTACAAAATTTAATCTGATTGATCCGTGGAGGGTGAGTATCAATTTTCTCACTGAAGTTTACGGTAAAAAATTTTGAGAATCAAATCAGTTAAAATTTACTGATAGTCGCAAAGATCATCTTCTAATATCAAATTTCTTCAATTTTCTTGTATGATATTTCTTGTCTGGTAATTATCTTCGCTACACAGCGCACAGGTTAAAGCTGTTTTCAAAGCAGCCAGGTTCTTTTTGGGAACGCCATTGTTGTAAATCAAACGAAGAGCCAAGTGTTTGCAAATTTGTCCGAGGTACTCATTACGTAAAAGGCCTCCAAACCAAGACTGCTATCCAATGCAATCTGTTGCGCAGTTTTTTGCCAACTGTTAAATTGATGCCCAGATGTGATGTGTAAATTGCAAGTAGAAACATTTGAGCGGCGTACCAAAAAAAATTATGTATGGATAAAGAAGGGAATTATAACTCAAAAGATTAAATTGGACTGCAACTCTCGATTTGGAATTTCACACAGCATTATGGTTAGTGAAAATTGTAAAAAGTTGGATTTTTTTTCACACCTCTTTAATGTAACCAAAGTTTCATTTATTTTTCTGAACACTGTAAAATAGCTTGAAAGCTTTTTCACGCTCAAATTGATTTCACAAAATTTTATCTGTAGTGATCAGTAGAAGATGTGCATTAATTTTCTCACTGAATGGTGCTGTAAAATTTTGAAATTTAAATGATATCCGCCAATATCAAGTTTCCCCTTCATGAGATTTCAGGAAACCTCATAGGGTGAAGGATTCAAATTTTAAAATATCATTAAGATGTCCTTTCATCTTTCACTTACTCTACTTAAAGACAACAACAACTTATGATATAAACTGAGACACTACGAACGACCTGATTGGTCAAACTTATAATTTATTGCATCGTTAAACCCACAGTATATTTCATAAAAGCAATATATCGCACTTTTTATCGGTTAACCGCGTTTATAAACTTTCCTTGTGTTCCAAACATGTAGATCACAAACGCCTATTTCTTTTGTCTACTGTTTTTATACAAGCGACCTTAACTACAATAAAAAAATTTTGTGCGTGCGCTGTGCATTGTAACGTTACGTAACGTAGCAAGTATTTAAGGCGTTGTTCATCGAAGTTGTTAGTTTTACTCAGTAGGTCCGCTTGCGATTATATTTCATATTATGTTTCATGCAATCATATCTCTACGTATTGCACTACGTGCCGCCTCTTCGCCGCTCTGCAATAATTCAGCAGTATTTCTTCAGCATCGCAACAAATGTATTTGTAGTTGTAATTTTCCAAAGTGTATCTAGTTTTAGCGTATTTAGTTTAATTCAAATTGTAATAGGTTTTCACTCGTTTTTTTTTGTTTACGGCCATCACATCCTTTCCAGGAAACCTCTTAATAATTGTTGCCCTTCAAAAGGTTACTTCAAAACTTTTGTTCAGCTGCCTAGCATTGACGGATCTTTGCGTCGGAATCATATTGCAGCCTTTGAATATTGCCTATATGTTGTCTCCGCACTACTATAGTCTCTGTTAATATCTGGAATATGTTTCTCCAGTTGTGGCCTTATCTCTCTGCGGCGTATCTTTGTTCACGTCAACTGCAATAAGTGTGGAAAGATTGTTCGCGCTGGTGCTTGGGTTAAGATATAGACAAACCATCGCTAGGAAACGGGTCTGGGCCTTTGTAATTTTTTCTTGGCTTGAAAGCAGTAGTAACGCAGTAGTTTACCTATATGGATATTACATTCTTTTATTTACCGCCAGTTCAATAATGTTGTTGTGCAAATCAACGTCTACGCTCTGTTATGTGAAAATCTATCGTATATTTCGCCGTCACCAGTTTCAAGTCCAAGAAATTATTTACCTCTCGCGTTAAGTACCAATCAATATTGTACGATACAGAAAAACAGTTTCCAGTGCACTTTGGATATCACGTGTGTTGTTAGTTTGTTATCTGCCATTTGTTATAATGATATTCGTAGAGTACATAACTTATGCGCCAATTTTTGCTCTATTTTTTTGAGTAAGCAATAACTCTTGTTCAGTTGAACTCATCACTGAATCCATTGCTGTACTGCTGGAAAATGAGAGACGTAAGGCAGCAGTGAAAGACGTGGTTAAAGAGTTCTTCTGCTTCCAAAGTTAGTATTATTGCAGAGATCTTTGCTTTGGCCGGAATTGCCTGATCACAGAAGTCATTTTAAGGTCCGCTTCAGAGCAGGAAGCTTTTTTTTTTTATCGAGAAAATTGGATTTTATCAGCATTAAATAAAAAGGGAGAGCTTCTCTCGCTGAAGATCCGTAGGCTGATCCTTAGCTATTTGTCGTCATTATAATAATGACAATGCAAAAGGATTCTCATCATTATTACCATCATCATCATCATGATTATCGTCATCATTATCATCATCATTACCATCATCATTATCGTTATCACATTTATGATCATAACTTATCCCTTTACCGGTTATGCTAACGATGATCCATAAATTATATATATTTCTTACATGTTTGTAATTTCAAAATTTTAGTCTCACTGATAGTATTTAATATTTTCTAAGATAAATAATTAGTGCATTGTTTCATAAGGCCTAGGTTTGCGGCCGATAGAACGCGCTTTATGATTGGCTAAGAGCGATAGTAAAGCAGAGCTTTAACTTCTTAAGACTAAAGGCCCCATCACGAATCATACAACAGAGTAATAACGCAAAAAGTTTCGAAATCACTGAAGTTTTATTATTTTTAAATGAAGAATACGTTCAAACTCATATCCTTGACGAATTAAAAAGTGACGTTTACATAGTATAGCTTCAGATTCCTGCTTAATCATGAAATGGACACCTTCGAGAGAAAAACCCAGAGAAATTTATTATACCTTACTCACACTTGATATCAAGATATAACAAGTTATTAACATCAGAGGTAAGGTCGTAAACAAATTAATGTGTAGATTGAAGAAAACCTAACTCTTAAATTTCTCCTATTTTGGAAAAAGGTTTTCAAATCATATTTAATGAAAAAAAAAGACAATAATAAAAAAAGGTACTAGCACAAAACGTCCGATCTCTTCTTTTTACCTTTGCATCTTTCCTTTTTTGCAGCTACTTCTTATATGCTCCATTGATTTTAGGAGCAAGTGTCAGATGAAGGTTATAACTATGCCTAGTTGCACCTAAACTAGAAATATATAGACCAACTTGTTAATGACGGCTTTAGCCAGCTTGAGTTCCACCGAGTAAATTGACTACCCTTTTTAAACTCTTGCCATTCTGTTACGTTTCACCTTACAACCGATCTTTTGCAGTCTTGATAAAATATGTTTCTAAAAATGGCTGGAGTTTCACTACTATCGGTGTATCGTACAGTTCTTTTATTTTCAGCTTTAGAATATTACGCTGATTGCATTCTTTTCTTTTTTTGGAACAAAAGTGGTAGGAAAAAGCGACCAAAGTTTTTTTTAAAGAAATGTTAGCTTCCGCTTAAATTTTCTATCGCTACTTACTGAGAAAACTAACGTGTCTTAAAATCACATGTTACTTTGAGTGTCTCCAAAGCACTTCACTACAGGAATAGGTGTGCATAATTATTCTCAAATGACACCAATTAGTGTCTCTAAGGATAGCATCTCTTCTTATTAAGGCGATATGCTCTAGAACACTAATCTTATCCGGATCTTTCATGCCTCGGAGTAAGTGAATTCAAGTCTTTCGTAATCGTTTTGATGTACGTCTTTTAAAGCGAAGTAGTCCGTATTGTTGTCTAACGGCAAATCATTGCTGGTACGTAGTTTAGAAACATCGATCTCCATATAGACAGGATCATCGACTTGAGGGTCATCTCCGGCAAATTCGTATACGGGATTACGATGCCCCATGTCTATACCCCGGTTGGCGGCTGTCCTGCGCACGCCACTGTGAGACAAAACAAAATAAACATGGTGAAAAGTTGTCTTCGGGTACCAACAGTAAGTAACTAATCATATCAAATATTTTTTCAGTGGATGTTGTTTAATTTCTATTGTGATCGCTATAATTACTTTTGTTTTACGATTTAAAGATAGGATATAGGACGAAAAGCGTAGTGTCGACTCACCTAATGGCAAAGGCGGACAGGAGAGTCAGATGGGTCAAGACCCGCCCCACCCACCCCTCCCGAGTCAAAGCAGCGGTCTCTTCAGCAGTTTGGTTATTTCAGTAGGGGGGGAGGGGGGAGAATGGGACCGGTTGAGAAGTAGCCAATAGCGAAAAAGGTATGTCATCTGAAGCGAAGTACGGATTTCAGCTGTTAAACATTTGTGGATCGAACCCAAAACAATAAGGAGAAGCCAGGGTTACCGGGACACGAACCAGGCGAAGAATAGACTCAAGGAAACGGTGGAAATCGAGTCTACCTAAATATCGTCATCGCCAATAGCCCCTTTTGCGAGCAACGTTTATGTGAAAGTTACAAGGCGAGTTCGATATCTCCACTTTCAGAAAACAATATAGAACAGGTTTGATATTAAAAACTGTGCGGTGAAATGCACTCAGAAGAGCTTTGTGGTAACAATAAGTAAGGGAGGTTAACTTGTTAAAGAAACTATTTTAAGTGTGATTGCGAAATTTATCTGTATACCTTTCTACCTCTTAGTCTTCTTCCTCAAATTTTACAGTTTCTTTTCTTTTGATAATTCATTTTTGTTACACTGTATCAGGATCAGAAAGGCTAATTTCATAACTTGTTTAAGGCTTTCTGTGCGCTATGGGTTAAATAAATCCTCCTTTAAGAAGATAAATCACCAAGATCTCGTATTGGAGAATGTTTGTCGGATACCTAATCCTTGTCAAGGTAACCCGACTGTAACTATTCGGACATAGCGAAAAAAAACTCACCGACGATGTTTCTTTCCGCAGAAGATGGCGATGATAATCAGGGAAATAATAAACAGTACAGATCCTGCTGCAATACTTGAATAAAGAGTTACTGGCTTTAAGCCGCTTTGTTCTTCATCACTGGACATACTTGGAATTTCTAGGGGAAAGAAATGAAGATCGCAAAGAATCAGACTACGGAGCTTCTGGTGAAATGAAAGAGCAAGTAAAAACAAAAACAAAAAGAACCAAAAAAAACGAACAGATATGCAAAAACAAGCACAAGATGAGAAAGGTAATAAAATTGTTTGTACATCTTTTAGAAAACAGCTGTTACCTTGGCAACTTTTTCGCCATTTTGATCCTGTTTTTCCAAAGGTTACCGTCCCAGATGGACACAATATACAAGAGCTCTGCGCTTCTTGGTCCTGGTATTGGTCTTCTGGGCATGCTCGACAATCGTTTTCGGTAAAATAAAAGCCAAGTGGACAGTTAACTAAAATCCGAAAAAAAAAATTGCATAAGAAAACGGCCAATGATTAATTCCTTTTAAGAAATCCTATAAGAGTCATACAGTGTGATATTCTCATCTCACTGTAAATGCCACAAAAAGAATAGATATGTTCAATCTCCATTAATCCTCAGCTTAAAATAACCCCCATTTCCAATAAACTCTAGTCCACTGCCCCACCATGCACAACCCAAGATGATTTTTCTATCAGCGAAAATCAAAATGAACTTCTTATACGAGTGATGTAGCTGTTATACAGTGAGTTTTAGAACTCTTCGCTCAAAGATGTGTTAGTTAGCATTAGAAACTAACTTCTTACCGCAATGCGTCCCTCTTTGAACTTGTCCTTTGCCACAAACGAGACTCACAAGGCGAAGCTGTGGTGCTCTCGAAGTGTCATACTTTATAACAATTCCACTGATGTTCAGATTCAGGTCAGTTTCGTTTAATGTTGATAATAAGTCATTGGATAGTAGTTCTGCGGTTTCATTCAGGTCAACCAAGGAAGCGTTGACTGGTAGAGGAACTTTTAAAGCAAAACGCATCGTAAGAGGAACACTGGGCGTTCTTCTCCTGCGTGTCCCTGTTTCTCCACATTTTACCTCGACATTATCGATTGTGCACTGACTATTACAGGCTCCAGCGCTACCAAAAACTGAGTTCTGTAACAGTTGTATGAAGTTGCTGGCGATAACTTCGCTCACTGCTTCGTCGCCACACGCATCAACTAGGTAATAGAGGTCTCCATTCACTATGGCATCTTTCGGCATATACGTCTCTGAAACAACAGTTAATACTCAGATTTACTGCTAGTATCACTAACAGTTAATACAGATTAAGCAAACACCTCTGACAAGAAAACCTCATTGGCTGGTTTCGGCCGATTTTTGCCTTATACTAGACTGAAAAAAAACCAAAAAAAACAACCAAAAAAGGAGACGAACGCGAAACATTAAATTAACAATAAAACAAAGCACCGACAAAAAAAGGAACAAAAAAGGGAACAAAACATAAAAAAGAGCCAAACAAAAACAATTATACTTTTCCTTTGATTCATCGCTACGGGCAGATGATTATATCTGAGAAGTCAGATTATATCACCTCTCTCTAAAATACGGTTACCTCGCTGAGTTGCGATTCAACTCCACGAGCCTGTTCACGGAGAAGTCCGCATTATGCATGACATCATGTTTTTTTAGTTAACCTGTTCTACAGATACAAGTATTCATACAAACAAGAATCATGACAAAGTTAGTTCTTACTTGAGCAGTCTGGAAAAGCAGGTGCTTTTTGGCCATTTACAAATGCGTTCATCCACGTTCCTCCCGGAGTACAGAAGTACACGTCTTCCGGTTGTTCAACGAACCCGTAACCTTCATTGCAATGCACGGTACAGAACACCCCGGTCAGCCACATCTCACAAGCCTTAGCGCCGTTCTCAGGTGGTGGTAGATCAGGGCATGATTTATCTTGTGAAAAGAAACAACGGATTAACACTTTCACACCTCAGTAAAGCATCATATTTATTTAGAGCTATTTCAGTTCAATTTTTCTGTATGCCTTGTACATAGATATGTAGACAAACACTCATTACGGCTCTATGAGGTCGAGGAACAGGCTCAAAGCAATTTTTAATTCCGTAGTTAAAAGTTATCATGGATTACGGGGAGAAGAAAATGGTAAACCTAAATACGGAACCATCACAGAACAGGCCTCTCCAGTCTCCCTCGCATTAGATAGTTTACATCTTTTCAATGTTTCAAGTTCTCACTGACAACATTGATACACGCACATTTTTTTCTCGTTAGCTACTCTAATTACTTTGGTTCTACAAACGTCAATGAAAAATGCTGTATGAGAATATTGCTCACATCGTTACCAATAATGTAGTACTAGCAGTTTTTCTGCGGCTTTTAGAAACCATGCACCCAATGTATCAGTAGAATGGGCGTGAAATCATGCAAAAATGATCCAAGATAGAATCTTCGACTGTCAGAACACGTTTGATTCTAACTCCTCGTGTATAAAATTATTAGCATAACTATACCAAAATATTTTTAGCATTCTAATTGCCTCAATTAAAATCGGTAAGCCCATATAAAGAATCTCTATCTTTTTTTTTCAATCGGGCTTATCTATTAACCAATTGACATGAAAAGGCTGCACAAAATATATTTTTCTCATGGGGCGTAGAATTCACCATCTCTTTTATTCTATCAATATGCATGTACTTACCGGTAATAATAACTTTGAAATTGCATTCGGCAACATTTCCTGCTTTATCTGTTACAATACAGGTTACATTGTGCTCGCCCCAAGTGAATTCGCTTCCATTCGGTCTGCTAAGTGAAATGGAGAACACTCCCACATTATCCGTTGCTGTGACTCCAGGAAAAAAGATCGTATTATCCCTCTTTCCAGACGAAATGAAGATATCGTCGGGGCAAGAAACAATGACCGGAGGTTCTACATCTTTTTTTTGCATGGATAATAGAAAAAAATAATTAATACATTGCGAAACAGGTAGAAAAACGAAGTTAATAACTAGATAACTAATTGAATCAATCCTTTTCAAAATTTAAGGTATGACATGCAAGTTGCTGGAATGCTGATAAAAGCTCTTCCAGTGAAGCCAAAGCTAAAATTATTGGTTTTATTACATAATCATTTGAATAACATGTATGAAGATTTTTATTTCTTTTATTACGTCCAAAGAATTTTACAGTTAGAACTTAAGTGTCTTTATTAAAAAAAGCTCAATAAAAGTATAATGCGATTTTCGAACGAGTGAAATTACTGGTAATACAAAGATGACGTAGAATCAAAGATTTTCTTCTAACATGTTTTGTATTTAATTAATTTCGCCTTGCTTAACTTGAAATACTTATGCATGTACAGTCTAGTAGTTCTGACTTTGGTTTTTCGCTGCAGTCAGCCTTTATTCCTTTTAAAAAGCAGTATTGGCTGCGAAAGTGGGCTTCCATCTCCCAAAACTTACTGGAGGGTCTCAATAGGGCGATTGCTTTTACAGCTAAAGGTTAAATTCTGGTCATCTTTCGGTTGACGACGAAGGGTTAAAATGTGTCACTTCTTACGCCTAGAGGTTAACCCATTGAGACCCTCAATATATTCAAGTCACAAATGATATGATGCTATCGAACATCTATTGAAGTGTAGCTCAAAACAAAGAAGAAAATAAGCACCTTTAACGTTAATAGAAAATGTACAGCTTGTTGACAACTCAGCGGTGTCTGTGACTTCATATCTAACATAATGTCTACCAACATAGAACTGCTGAGGTGGGCGCAAACCTTTCAGACTTAGTGACATGTTGGAATTGTCGGAAGGGACTGGTACCTCCCACGTCACTATTGCGTACGATTGACCAGTTTCTGTGGATAGTTCTTGGTTAGGTGGGCATTGAATGCTAGGAGGTAGGACGTCTATGGTATTATAAAAAAAAAAGTATATATATATTTAGGAATAAATAAAGTAAGCTATAGTGATAAACAAATTATTAACGCCTACTCGAGCTCTCAATCTTTTAATGCTTATCTGACTGAGGATGTGTCATTTTGTAAGAATTACAAAAATATATGTGCTTCTGTTTGGTACCCTTGCAAATCGTCTTTGTTGTATCTGCACTCCACGATCCACTTTCCAGGCAGGAGACGCTACTTTCGCCTTCCAGTACGTAACCAGGGGTATTAGCGTTGCACGATAAAAAGCACTGTTTCTTATAATAAACACCAGAAGCTGATCTGCACGAATTTGGAGAAACAGCTCCATGAGATGGAGGCTCAATGGCTTGGCACCTCACAACTTAAGATAAAAGAAATCATGTGATTAAGTTCCTGACTTTTATGAAGCTATCAAGAATCCTCAATTTAAACCATGTCTTTGAAACCTCTCCAATTTACATTAACAAATCTAACTATTTTCAGGAGGCTTGAAAAGATAATATTTGTTAGTCATGGGTTGTCACTTAACTGTGAAATGGCTAAGACTGTTTGAGTTGTATAACCAATTCCTGCACTGGGAAAAAACCTAAAGACGAAAGACTGGACACTAAACGCAACCTTACACGCAAAGTAACATATACTTACCATTACATGTAGTGGTGTTTCCTGACCAAGAGCCGTCTTCTTTGCAAAAACGCTCTCGAGACCCGATTAACTGATACCCCCTGTCACAAGTAAAATTAGCTTGGGAACCAAATGAAAAGCCACAGGAAAGGTTCAAACTTCCATGTGATGGTGGCTGCAGCGTAATGCAGGATTTTCCTGTGAAAATAAAGTTTTATTATGTTGAGCTGACACAGTTTCAAGTAATATAATTCACTTGTACTCAGTATTATTGTAATATTATTGTATTTTCAAGAGAGAAACTATGGATCTACCTGGAAACAGTTTTGCTTGCAATAGTTTAGAAGATAGGTACAACAAAACATAGACATCTATAGAATTGTATACGAGCAATATATAAACATTTGTCAAAAGTGATAGAAAACAAGCAACGTTTTTCAAATACATAGTCAATGTCACTATTATTTCGATGACGTACTTGCAACTTGCACCATGAAAGTGCAGTTAGCTCTGTTTCCGTCGGCGTCTGAAGCTGAATACATTATAAAATAGAATCCAATGCTCAATTGAGCTAACGGTCGAATGGAAGGGTGGTTAACAATCACATGGCCGGAATTATCATCAGCAGTTGGTTCATTCCATCCAACCAAAGCACTGGATGAGCATTCAGGAGTATAGACCACTATGTTCTCTGGACAAGTATTATTAAAAGAAGGAGGAGTTGTGTCTGCAAAAGGAAAAAATTGTTTAATTGGAATACATATATATGTACAGGTATCGAAAGTAACCTTTTTAGTTTGGAATAAGATACCGGAAATTAGCTCGGACTGTTTTCCCCTCGTTTCATCCTTAGTTTTTATTTACATGTTTATTAATCGTGCTTTTTTTCCGATTTTACGTATAAAAAGACGAGATGATATCTTTGCAGCCGACAACCAGAAATTTTTTTTGTCGGGATTCCCATAATCCCTTTCACAGCCAAATACACAATTTGTTGCCGCATGAAGAGGTCAGTAGTACCCCTTTCAGTGGGATGATCAAAGTAAGACATTTTATGACTGTTTAAATAAGACGAAACTTAAAACAAATAGATGTCGATTTTAAAATGACACAAATGGTCATTTTGCATAAGATGGACAATCTTTGTATTGATTTTTGTAATCCGCAGTAGCGCTTTAAATAATGAATGAATATGAAGAACAGTAATACAATAATGTCAAGGAAACAAAACAACTGTTGTATACAGAAGAACTTTGCTCGCAAGACAAAATAATGAGTTTTTCTCCCTCAAAGTATTATAATGAAAGACTCTTAACTCTAGAACTGGAAAAAAAAAGCAATGTAGAATGGATGCGAGTGTTTCGGAAGATCTTTTTTTGTTGCACTCACGACTAGTTAGAGAATGAGAGACAGGATAACTAAGAAACGAAACGCAGTAATAAGAATACTACACTTAAAATAGAGAAATTGCAGCTGGTGACAAGGAGAGATATGTCTGGTTCCTTTCAAGATGCACCCACCACAAAGCACCCATTCCCATAACCCCTCTCCTAAAATCATTATGGAAGAAGAAAATAGTAATTCAGGTAAGTTACCGTTACACTGAGCTGGAGTTCCTGTCCAAGTTCCATTACTGTTACATGTTCTTGTTGTTGACCCCGTCAAAATGTACCCTTTGTTGCAGGAAAACTCACAGGTTTGTCCCGGCAAATTAGAGCAGGGCTCTAGACTTCCATGTGGCGGGGCATACAGCTGTTGACAACGCCTCTCTATGAAAAGAAGTGAAACAATAATTATTCTTCTTTTCTAAACTGGCAACTGGTTCGTTCTTGAACGTGCCTTATTCGAGATTGAAAATACACAAAATATCGGAAGAGTTTAAAAGATGCGTAAGAACTGAAAAAACCGAAGAAAAGAACACCTCCTACAGTCTTCAGTGTTCCCAGAACGTGACAGGTGCTTCATTAAAAGATGAAGGCATAATCGGTGCATGAATCAGACATTTAATACAATTTTTTACATTTTGTATCGATTCAAATGTTGTATGATAATATCTAAAAAACTACCTCTACCACCATTCAGTGTGCTTGCTAAAATTACTCCACTGAATGGATGTAATCAACGATTAACTTCCTCTAACAATTTCAAAACATGTAAGACCATGAAATGAAAATTAACGTACGGTCGATGCCTCTAGTTCCTTACCTCCTTCACAAATAGAGGCATTACCAGGCTTCAGCTGAACTCCCTCTGGACAAAAACATTGATGTCCACTCGGATTTGGAAGACAAAGATGACTACAGCCTCCATTTAGTTGAGAGCAGCTTGTTGATCCTAGAAAAACGCGTAAAGTTTTAACTGTGATCAAAGCTTTGTGTAGTCAATGTCACTTTAACTAGCAGACGGTTATGCCGTGTTCGGAGAAAAAAAGGGGATTCCATTCCATCTCCAACCCTATCTGCTCACGTATGTGAATGTTATGTATACGCAGTCAAATATTTCAATACCGTTTGAATAGCCCTTGGTAATTAAATTGACACGAGAATCATTTTCATGGCAAAAGGTCATGACAACGCCGAGCAAACATCGAAATTCATTTTACTACGATATGAAAATACTTTACTAGGGTCTACAGTAAACCTGTCATCAAGCCAACCAGGTCATCTTCGTAAAGGTTTCAGCAATAGAATTAGCCACTCCAGACTATTCACCCACCTGTGATTGTTTTTGCCTGATCATAAACATGCACTTCCATCGGCCTTCCCATTCCATAGACCAACACGTCACTTTGAGAAGATGTCAAATTGTACTTATGAATACTCTGACTGTTCCAGTCAGACCAGTAAAGAGTGTCACCAGACAGGGAAAGTCCAAAGGGATGATGGTTGTAAGAAGACAAATCTAGAAGTAGTTCTCGGTTATTTCCTTGAAGGTTTGCCCTTTCTATCTTATCGAGTTTTGCATCGCACCAATACAGCAGCTTATTCTGCGAATCTAGAGCAAGTGCATTGACCCAGACAAGTCCAGAGCTTACAATAACTGTCCTGGCAGACCCATCCATGTTAGCTTGCTCAATCTTTGGTGATGATCCCCAATCACTCCAGTACATTTGTCTAAAATAAATGTTTCACAGTGTTCACAATGTTCTCACTGTGCTTTATCACCACTTAGCGATTTATCAATGAAAAACTTTACTTAGTTATCATTATCATCCATTCCCCAACTTTGGGGTCTTTAGGCAAATAAGATTAAAAAAAACCAGCAATATCTTCTATGATAACCTTCATAGCTTCAGTATTCCTTGCAATAAAAGTATATTATCCTTAATTATTATCTATTCTTCGAAGAAAACAGCTTTCTTCAAGATTCGCTCTGGAAGACTTTCTGTTTCTCGATACAAACAACTTCCAAGGAAGAATATTGCGCCAGTTGGAAGCTATTATACTAAAATTGGCGTGTATAGAAAAGCAACATTATGATGACGTAAAAGCTTTCTCAAGATCAACGAAAATTTTAAATGTGACAACCCTCCCTTTTCTGATAGCTGGAAACTTTCCAGTTCTTAAGAACTATTTTTCTGCTGTGCATCATTCATTTGGGAAATATCAAGACAAGTTTACTGCAAATTGAATTAAAAGAACAAAAGCTTTGATTACCTCTCATGTATATCTAGAATTATAGCTCTTGGATTTTCAATCCCTGTTGTGATAAGGCTTTTCCGAAATGATCCGTCTAGTCGTGCTACCTCAAGTTTGCTAGTTCCAGTATCAGTCCAGTAGAGAATCCTTCCAATGTAGTCTACTGCAAGGCCATCTGGCGTTACCACGTCAGTGTGCGCTATGATCTCAACTGACGATCCGTTCGGAAATGCTCTTGCCAACAGTTTCAGGGTCACATCTGTCCAATAGATTTTACCCTCAACTGGGTCGTAGTCAACAGCCACGGGCCTGGAGATATTTATGTTGATTTGAAGCAGATAGCAAGGTGTGTTCGCCACTGCTAAAGGAACCTTGTAAATTTCACCATGATTCGCTTCGGCGAAGAGCAAAAAAAGTTCGTCGCTTGTCTTTTGGAACAAAGCTTGAAGGCAAAAAAGAAACAACAACAACAAAAACAGCAAATAAATAAATAAAAGCCAGAAATATGTTTCTGATGATTAACCTCGCTTCATACCTTATTTTGTGAATAAAGTTCACTCACGAAACCAAAAAAGGACTTGTAGGAAATCCATAGTACGGTGTACATACTGACCATAAACTACACCTTGTTGCTCTCATTTTTACTTTTTTTCGAAATTTGGAAAGCTGATCTCTTCTTCTTCACGGGATTTAAGATGAGTTCTTGATATGCATGATCAATGATAACAAATCCCCTCTCCCTGCCTATATAATGGTTGAAACGTTGAATAAGTAACCTCACCAAAGTCGCAATTTTTTCCGTCCTCCTTAAGAACGATTCCCGTCGGACATGTGCACTGGTATCCTCCTGGCTTTAAAAGACACAAATCACTGCACATGCCATTGTTTTGCGAGCAGGGATGTGACCCTTAAAACAGAAAGTAAACAATAATCATAAATAGTAAGACATCATCAAAATTGAGATCACTGATTATTTGTGAGAGTCATTTCCAAGCTTCTCTAGCAACTCGAATCATTTATTACCATGTTTGATAAGACACACCATCAGCTAAAGAATCATTAAACCTTTCACTAAAAACTTTATCTTTTTTAACAGTATCAAGAAGGATTATCGGCAAAACTACAAATATCACGATTACTTCAAATTACACACTTGAGAAAAAACGTACCGGTCTAATGATTACTTGAGTGAGACTTTTTCTAGTATACGTATCCGGCCGTTAGTGATTGCCAATGTGAATATCTGCTAACTCAGAGAAGATAAGAAAGAGGCAGTACTTTTACCTGATAATATCAAGGAAGGATCAAACACGTGAATATCCATCGGCTTCTGTAGATCAGTAATAACCACGTTCATCTGACCACTAGTTGCATTATAACTTGTAACACTCTGGCTATTCCAATCTGTCCAATAAATAATGTCCTGATAAATTGTTAATCCATAAGGATGAATTCCAGCTGTAGATGGTAAAACAGTCTGTCGGTTTCCTCCATCCAGATCAGACATCTCTATAGTGTCTAGTTTCGCGTCCGCCCAGAACAAACGGTTTGTAGCTTGGTCCAGGGTAAGTCCGTTTGGCCAGGCTAGATTTGCCATAACAATGGACCTTCTACCCGAACCATCCATTTCTGCTTTCTCTACCTTCGGATTGGCGCCCCAGTCCGTCCAATACATCATACTAAAAGAAATTATTTATTCCAAACATAATTAAGAATTTTTTGGACAAAATTTACTGAGGTTGCCCCTTAGCACAGCCAAATGGCCGATTGCATTTTATATATCATAAGTAGACGTCGACATTTATTCATATTATCGTTTTCACACATCTCTCAGATGCTTCCTGTTTTTGAAGTCCATTCAACTGGGTAAGATCATTTGTAGTACTTAGCTTGTGTCAAAGCCGTGAATAACTGAAAGGCTACGTTTACTACTGATGATACTTCTTTGCTGTTTCCCCTACAACGCGTTCACCAGCGGATACAAAAACATTTCAGTCTTAAAAAAAATCGTTACTTGCCCATTTCTTTCATCCAGTATAATGGCTCTTGGTTCATCAAGTCCAGTATTGATCAATTCTTTCCTACCTGATCCGTCAAGACGCGCTACTTCAATTCTATTAGTTCCAGTATCGGTCCAGTAAATGTTCCGTGCTACATGATCAATTACTAAACCCTCGGGGCTTAGGATATTACAACGAAAAAGGATCTTCAATGAGGTTGCATTGGTAAAAGCGCCGACGATTAGACCTTGAGCAACATCCGACCAGTACACGCGATCTTCGACAGGATCATAGTCCAAAGCGACAGGACGCTGATTTCCTATATGGTTGAATAGTGTTTGAGCGACGAAGTAGCTTACATCCAGTGAAATGATATTTGTTGATTTGTCGTCGGCGTCAGCAAAAAGAATGAACCTCTTTACTTCTGCAATTGTAATCAAAACAGCGTTTGTTGTCAATGAGAGACTCTTTCTTGGGAGGATGATTGATTCATCTCAATGCAGCCATCATAACCCTCAATGTGTTATTGATTTCTCGAACAAAGAATGCGCATAGCGACCATGCATTACTCGTTGTTTTTTTTAATCTTAAGGCTGGCTTTAAAGGTGGCATGCATGTTCGCCGGTGGTTGGGCGGAGGAAAAATGTACCTGTTTAAATATTCACATGCGGTATTCTCATCTCTAAATCTGACCGTTATTAGAATTGCAGAATTACAAGCAGACAGGTATTATTTCATTTTTCTTGAAAGGGCTGACATAGCTTTCTTAGTATCTATGCATCATCTCCGGCAATCAATAAACAGTTTTCGTACTTTCTTCACACGTCTTTCCATCTTGCTTTACTGCTAGGCCCGTAGGACACACGCATTCATGGTTAGACGCCTTAGGAACACAGAAATGACTGCATCCTCCATTGCTTACAGAGCAAGGACCTGGAGCTTAAGAAAGAAACAATTTTTAACGTAAAAGCGTGCAGTTTATACTGTTGACCATACATTATTTCAAAACCTGAACACTTTGACGACACCAATAATTATTTTAACTTCCACTTCCACATACACTTTAGTCCAAATTCTGACCAGGAATGCAAATTTAGGCGATTGATCATGAAAAGTGTGAACAGAAAAGAGTTACGACATTTAATCACTGAAATGCTATGTGTTAAAAGTACGGCTGTTTAATTATAGCTTCGTTTACAGTTTACCTTTGAGTTTGCAAATTTTTCTTTTGGGTCGAAAGTGGGAAAATTTTGTTGATATGTACATCAGCTCTTCATGAGCGGAAAATATTTTTTAGTGCCCTCACTCATGGCAGACACCACAATGAAAACGTTGTTAGCTTCCATTTGATATCCTCTTTATCAAATGCACTGAGACTGAACACTAAAATAACGTCCAGGACTTCGTCAGTATCCTCCTGACTTTCACTGGTGATTACCGACAGTGTTTGATGAGGGGAACCGAATTCACGACTAGCTGATAGCCCCCTTAAGATTACCTGCTGGTTGTCGCCCACTGTCGTATGCAACAATTCCCATAGGTCGCCCACCATTAATACTGAAACTTTTGAGTAGATCTCCGGTTGTAGCGTCCAGCATGTGCAGCTCCCTGTCTGTCACCCAGTCAGTAAAGAACAGGAAAGGAGGGATCAACGCCACTCCGAATGGATGTAGGCTACGCATCTGAAAAAGCAGTGACCTGTTGTTACCACTGTAGTCGACCGATTCCACTCTGTCATAACCGGCATCTACCCAAAAGACTCTTTTTCCTCCTCTGTCGAGGTCAATTCCATTCGGCCAGTAGACTTCTTTTGTTACGATGGCGACTCTTTGCTGTCCGCTTAGGGAAGCTTTTTCAATTTTGGGAGCGCTTCCCCAGTCAGTCCAAATCATTGCACTGTTTAAGTGACGGTATCAATAGGTTAAACTTTAAGCAGATTTTTGAGGTGAGACAATGAATCAATGATTTATCCAGTCTTATAACTAGCCAGTTAGCCAGCTTACCGGGCGGTTATTCAATGGGTTGGCTTACCAGCCTGTTAGCTAATCATTTAGAGGGTAGGTCAGTCAGTCTGTCGTTCAGCCAAATCGGTACATCGATCAGTGAGTAAGTTGGTCAGCTTTTGAAGTCGTTCAGTCGATGAATTCACGACTTATTCATTTACAGTTCAAAAGGAAGGCCTCAGACGATTAGCAAAGATCGATTACACGTTACACTTATCTCGTTTAGATTCTCAACGATATCAACATAAGAAGAAAAGAAAATTTCAGGAAATAAATGCTATTTAAACCATCCTGGGATATTTGAAATCACTCTCATTGCGGGAGATAAATTAAGTCCACGACTAAAACATTTAAGATAATTATTCTGCTTGAAAAAAAGGAAAAAGTAATATATATATATATATATTGATTTAATAAAATTATCGCCACTGCTTTTAAAGAGATTTGAATTGGAAGAAACACTGTAAAACTCTAATGAAGGCTGCAAAGAAGCTCTTCCGAAACCGTTTGTGCTCTCCGAATCTCACTGATCAATGTATTGGAAGTTCGATAAGTGCACACTGTATTATACCCGAGCGGCTAATTATAAAGTACTTATAAATCGCACAAATATGACACTTACTCGTTGTCCGGATCAAGGGCTATGGCTCTGGGTTCTTCCAATGCCGAGGAAATTAAAGTAAGTTGGTTGTTTCCATCCAGGTCTGATACCGATATCCTATTATACGTTGTATCAGTCCAATACAACTGAGATGTTCTCCATTGAACGGCTAGTCCATCGCAGACACCAATATTGGTTATGATTGTAGTCGTGTTTGCCTCATCAATCCGAAATCGTTTGATGTTCCGTTCCGTCACGTCACTCCAAAATATGAAGCCCAGGCTGAAATGGACGCCTATAGCAACAGCTCTTGTAAGGCCTGGAATCATTGAGGTTACCTTTGCTTTTTCATGGTCCACTGCTACTATATCAGTTGTATTTGATACCAACAGACAAGGTGGAGTGCAAAATGTCGCTATAAATAGAAAAATTTTAAGCCGTAAAAATGGAGACAGTGTATTGCACCAAACTAGATTACAGATTATTTTATCACTGGCAGCCCCTATGGGCAAAACCAGCGAGTCCTGTGCTCTGTTTGGACTCTGAATCATCTGAATGGGTTCATCTTGCCCGCTTGAGATTGCCCCCTTTCATCCCGTGCAAGATAAACATTTTGTGGAGCAGCATGAAGTACACTTCTTGATTCCTAATAACGCGAAATATCTTTGCTTTATAATAAATCCTTTATTGACCAAGAATGTGCTGTCAAGGTGGCCGGATATTAGCCTCTATTTTTTGTTGTTTTTGTTGTTGTTGTTGTTTTTTTTTTAAGAACTCAGGCAATAATCAGCCATCTTGGCCTTAAGCATGGTCAATGATATGTTTGCTCAGCAAATAATTAAATCCGAAAGGGCAAAGAGATTGATGACTGATTTGGGCGAACCAGCTTTCATTAAAATGAAATAGTTGCTGTAGCTTTAATCTTTCTTGATCACTGAATCACTAAAGACTGGACACTTAAGACTGTAATTAAAAGTAGTTTCATGAAATCTTTCAGATATGTGGCACATTATTTTTCCTAATTCTCTTTTGTGTAGGGATTGGTATTGGCCTAAAAAGCATAGTCATATTAAAGTTTTTTGCACTGCCTATGCATTAAATTTATGTAATAAAAATATCCTTCTTAAGACTAGTTTATTAGAATAAGAATGAAGTATTACCAGGCACAAGTATGCTTTTCACGGTGATAGTTTCCAGGTTTTAAAAAAGTCACTGCCTACTAAAATCCTCAGCTCCTTTGCCCAGACAGCCCAATCTCATCAAAACATTGGCAACAGGAGCGATTTGTAAATTAATGATTCAGACGAGAGAGCCTATTCCCACATGCACCCTCCTCAATCCTGTTAGCTTACTATAGACATGGCATTTTAAACATGGCAAATATGCCACAAATTTTCCATTTACCTTACCTATTATTTTGAGATGACAAGTTGTGGAAAATGGTTGGGGTGAGATGTAATACAAAGAATAGCCAGTAGATAGTCCAATGAAAACTTTTTACACATCAAGAAAATTTATTGTTGTCTTTCACGTTAACTTGTCGCAATAACTCCACCTTCTACGAAATCCAGGTATTATCTAAAGATTTCAGGAAATGTCTTCATGGTCGAATCCTAGGTCTCTCTTAGTCATCAAGTTTTAATTGTGAAATTCTAGTTCTAGCTTGGTTTCCTTTTAATCAAACTTTCGTAGCGCAAGAAACATGCTAGACAAATTTCGTATTTCAGGAGCTAGAGATGCTAGGGTCATGAACAGTTGGCTTAAAGACACATACATTATATCCAGTTACAACAGAGGTAACCGATTCAATTAAATAACAGAGAAAATAGTAGTAATTGAGGTCAGTCACCTTTACACTGAGTCGGAGTTCCAGTCCAAGTTCCATCACTGTTACATGTTCTTTTTCTTGATCCCATCAAAATGTACCCTTTGTTGCAAGAAAACTCACAGGTTTGTCCTGGCAAATTAGAGCAGGGCTCTAGACTTCCATGTGGCGGGGCATACAGCTGTTGACACCGCTTCTCTACGAAAAGAAATTGAACAATAATTTTTTTTCAAACTAGCAACTGGTTCGAATTTCGTCGAGATTAAAAATACGCAATTAATCGAGAGAGCTCCAAAATTGCGTAGGAACTGAAAAAACCGAAAAAAATCACCTCCTACAGTCGGCAGTATTCCCAGAACGCAGCAGGTGCTTCACTTAACGATGAAGGCATAGTCAATGCACGAATCAGACATTTCATTACCTGTTTTCACATTTTGTGACAATTCCAATATTGTATTATCATATCGGAAAAATTACCTATACTGCCATTCAGTGTGCTTGCTCACTTCAGTGCAGTGAACGGATGTACTCAAAGATTAACTTTCCCTAACAATTTCAAAACATAACAACCATGCCATAAAAAATTAATGTAAATTCGATGTCTCTAGTTCCTTACCTCCTTCACAAATGAAGGCATTACCAGGCTTCAGCTGAACTCCCTCTGGACAAAAACATTGATGTCCACTCGGATTTGGAAGACAAAGATGACTACAGCCTCCATTTAGTTGAGAGCAGCTTGTTGATCCTTGAAAAATGCATAAAGTTTTAACTGTGATCAAAGCTTTGTGTAGTCAATGTCACTTTAACTAGCAGACGGTTATGCCGGGTTTGGAGAAAAAAGGGGATTCCATTCCATCTCCAACCTTATCTGCTCAAGTATATGAATGTTATGTATACTCAGTCAAATATTTCAATACCGTTTGAATAACCCTTAGTAATTAAATTGACACGAGAATCATTTTCATGGCAAAAGGTCATGACAACGCCGAGCCAACATCAAGATTCATTTTATTACGATATGAAAATACTTTACTAGGTCTAAAGTAAACCTGTCATCAAGCCAACCAGGTCATCTTCGTAAAGGTTGCAGCAATAGAATTAGCCACTCCAGACTGTGCACCCACCTGTGATTGTTTTTGTCTGATCATAAACATGCACTTCCATCGGCCTTCCCATTCCATAGACCAACACGTCACTTTGAGAAGATGTCAAATTGTACTTATGAATACTCTGACTGTTCCAGTCAGACCAGTAGAGAGTGTCACCAGAAAGGGAAAGTCCAAAGGGATGATGGTTGTAAGAAGACAAATCTAGAAGTAGTTCTCGGTTATTTCCTTGAAGGTTTGCCCTTTCTATCTTATCGAGTTTTGCATCGCACCAATACAGCAGCTTATTCTGCGAATCTAGAGCAAGTGCATTGACCCAGACAAGTCCAGAGCTTACAATAACTGTCCTGGCAGACCCATCCATGTTAGCTTTCTCAATCTTTGGTGATGATCCCCAATCACTCCAGTACATTTGTCTAAAATAAATGTTTCACAGTGTTGAAACACAGTGCTTTGTCACCATTTAACAATGTATCGATAAAAAAACTTTATTTAGTTATCATTATCATCCATTTCCAAACTTTGGGGTCTTTAGGCAAATAAGATAAAAAAAACAGCAATATCTTCAATGATAACCTTCATAGCTTCAGTATTCCTGCAATAAAGGTATATTATCCTTAATTATTATCTGTTCTTCGAAGAAAACAGTTTTCTTCAAGATTCGCTCTGGAAGACTTTCTGTTTCTCGATACAAACAACTTCCAAGGACGAATATTGCGCCAGTTGGAAGCTATTATACTAAAATTGGCGTGTATAGAAAAGCAAAATTAGGATGACTAAAAGCTTTCTCAAGATCAACAAAAATTTTAAATGTGACAACCCTCCCTTTTCTGATAGCTGGAAACTTTCCAGTTCTTAAGAACTATTTTTCTGCTGTGCATCATTCATTTGGGAAATATCAAGACAAGTTTACTGCAAATTGAATTAAAACAACAAAAGCTTTGATTACCTCTCAGGTATATCTAGAATTATAGCTCTTGGATTTTCAATCCCTGTTGTGATAAGACTTTTCCGAAATGATCCGTCTAGTCGTGCTACCTCAAGTTTGCTAGTTCCAGTATCAGTCCAGTAGAGAATCCTTCCAATGTAGTCTACTGCAAGGCCATCTGGCGTTACCACGTCAGTGTGCGCTATGATCTCAACTGACGATCCGTTTGGAAATGCTCTTGCCAACAGTTTCAGGGTCACATCTGTCCAATAGATTTTACCCTCAACTGGGTCGTAGTCAACAGCCACGGGCCTGGAGATATTTATGTTGATTTGAAGCAGATAGCAAGGTGTGCTCGCCACTGCTAAAGGAACCTTGTAAATTTCACCATGATTCGCTTCGGCGAAGAGCAAAAAAAGTTCGTCGCTTGTCTTTTGGAACAAAGCTTGACGGCAAAAAAGAAACAACAACAACAAAAACAGCAAGTAAATAAATAAAAGCCAGAAATATGTTTCTGATGATTAACCTCGCTTCATACCTTATTTTGTGAATAAAGTTCACTCACGAAACCCAGAAACGACTTGTAGGAAATCCATAGTACAGTGTACACACTGACCATAACCTACACCTTGTTCCTTTCATTTTTACTTTTTTTCGAAATTTTGGAAAGCTGATCTCTTCTTCTTCACGGGATTTAAGATGAGTTCTTGATATGCATGATCAATGATAACAAATCCTCCCTCCCCGCCTTCGTAATGGCTGAAACGTTGAATAAGTAACCTCACCAAAGTCGCAATTTTTTCCGTCCTCCTTAAGAACGATTCCCGACGGACATGTGCACTGGTATCCTCCTGGCTTTAAAAGACACAAATCACTGCACATGCCATTGTGATTTATCTGACCACTTATCCGTTTTTGCATATTTTGACGACACAACTCTAACACGCAGAAGAAAAAAAGAAAAATTGTGATGCGCACATTCAATGAATTTCAAACGCAAAATGGTCCTCATTTCGCAACATGGAAGATCCCAATGAAGCCTACAATGATTTTATTGAAGAATATTCCAGAATCTATAACACTTGTTTCCCTTTAAAGGTTCTCAAAGGTAAACAAGTAAACAAGTTCTTTTCTCCATGGCTTAGCCCTGGACTTCTGAAATCCGTTAACAAGAAAAACAGACTCCACAAAAAGTTCGTCTCATCACCTTCCGCATCTTCTGAGACGAAGTATCAAGCCTACAAAAACAAACTCACCCATCTTATTCGCATTGCCAAACGAAAATATTACGACTCCAAATTTGAGAATGCCAGAAATGACCTCAAAACAACTTGGAAATTGTTAAAAGCGGTTTTTAACAAGCATAAAAGTATGTCATCTCCTCCCGCATCATTCAAAAGGCAGAACATTAACGGATCCAATGGAGATCGCTGACAGATTCTGTAAATACTTTACAAACATTGGTCCCAACCTAGCTAAATGTATACCCAGTGTGAATCCTTCTTTTCGTTCTTATCTTGGTGATAATAACCATCCCTCCTTTAACTTACAGCCCACCACAACTAGTGAACTGGAAAGCATTTGTAGCATGCATGTTCACTTCAAAGAAGGCTCCTGGCTATGACAGTATCCCAATGCATGTCATTAAGTTTTCATTTCACCTTATATCTGCTCCATTGGCAGATACTATTAATCTATCTCTGCTAAAAGGCATTTTCCCGGACAAACTTAAAATTGCTACTTTATTCCCATCTTCAAAGCAGAGGATCCTAACTTTTTTGTAAACTACAGACCTATTACTTTGTTGTCTAATTTTTCCAAATTTTTCGAAAACGTCATATACAATCGCTCAGTAGAATTTGCCGAAAAACACGATATACTTTACCGCTGTCACTTTGGATTTCGGAAAAATCACTCGACATCGCATGCACTAATTCATTTGGTAAATTAAATAGCTTCTGCAATCGACCTACACGAAACAACGGTGGGTATTTTCCTAGATATTTCCGAAGCATTTGACATTCTCAACCATCAAATCTTGTTTGCCAAATTGGAGCACTATGGTATCCGTGACGTAGCTCTGCAGTGGTTTAAAAGCTACTTTTCTTGCCGCCAGCAATTTGTCCAATTCAATCAAGCTTGCTCTGCAATGCGAACCATTAAGTGTGGTGTCCCTCAAGGTTCGATTTAAGGCCCTCTGTTGTTAATTCTATACATAAATTACCTCCCTAATACCTCTGAATTAACAGACTCACTGCTTTTCGCTGATGACACCAGGATCTTTTATTCCCACTCAAACCCAAATTGCTCAGAATCTGTACTTAATGATGAACTCCAAAACATTGATGTTTGGCTAAAATGCAATGAGCTCTAAGTTAATATAAAGAAAACTAAATACGTAATTTTTAAACCCAGACAGAAGAAGTTTAACTCCAGCATTTCTCTCTCCTTTGGAGGTAAACCCCTACAACAATCTAACGTATCTAAATTTCCTGGGGTCTATATTGATGATCATCTCACCTGGAAACACCATATCAGCTATGTATGTAAGCAAATCGCTAAATCAATAGGTATTATATTTAGGTCTCACTTTTTCCCATCCTCTACAACCAAACTCACCTTGTATTACACCTTGATTTATCCTTATATCGTTTATTTTAACTGCGTCTGGTCGTCCACATACGTATCTAACTTAAATAGAATTTATTACTTGCGAAAGCGAGCTGTGCGGGTTATCACCAACTCAGACTATCGAGCCCATTCCGCTCCTTTATTCTGTAAACTAGGAATTTTAGATATTTTCGAAGTCAATACGTTTGAAATCGCCAAATTCATGTTTTATCATAGAAATAAGTTATTTCCCCCATTGCTTCCGTCAATCTTTTTGTAACGAATAGCCAAATTCACAACTATGGTACCAGAGCAGCCAGTAATTATCGAACGCATTTGTGCCGTACAAATCTCAACCAATTTACAATGCTCTACCACGTTCCTTAAATTTGGAACTCTCTTCCTGTTTCAGTCACTGGTTTCTCAAACCTCCTTAGTTAAAGAGACGAAAAAGCAAGAGTTTTTACTTAAATAATCACTGAGTTGGCCTAGCCGCACATTCGCAGCACTCTTTCTTTACTTTATTTATTAATGTAGGTGAGGTGGCTCTCCCATAAGCCCGGTGGCTTCCTGGGTCTCCTCGCCTTCTAGCTATAACCGCTATAAAAAAAATTTTTGTATTGTTTAAATAAGGCAAACAAAAGATGATGATGATGATGATGATGGAACTCTTTAGCGGCCTGTAAAAAAAAAGAAAAAAATCTCGATTTTAATTTCGCACACAACTTGACGTTAACTGAAAGTAGAAGCCTGGCCAATGCATTTTTCAAAAACCAACTCTATAATACAACCTGAAAACTTCAATTCCCATTTTTTTTCTGAACGCTTAAGACTAGCTTATGTGCCTTCCTCGCTACAAAATTCTACAAAATTTAATCTGCATTGATCCGTGGAGGGTGAGTATTAATTTTCTCACTGAAGATTACGGTAAAAAATTTTGAGAATCAAATCAGTTAAAATTTACTGATAGTCGCAAAGATCATCTTCTAATATCAAATTTCTTCAATTTTCTTGTATGATATTCCTTGACTGGTAATTATCTTCGCTACACAGCGCACAGGTTAAAGCTGTTTTCAAAGCAGCCAGGTTCTTTTTGGGAACGCCATTGTTGTAAATCAAACGAAGAGCCAAGTGTTTGCAAATTTGTCCGAAGTACTCATTACGTATAAGGCCTTTAAACCAAGACTGCTATCCAATGCAATCTGTTGCGCAGATTTTTGCCAACTGTTAAATTGATGCCCAGATGTGATGTGTAAATTGCAAGTAGAAACATTTGAGCGGCGTACAAAAAAAAATTATGTATGGATAAAGAAGGGAATTATAACTCAAAAGATTAAATTGGACTGCAACTCTCGATTTGGAATTTCACACAGCATTATGGTTAGTGAAAATTGCAACCAAAATTTCATTTTTTTTTTCTGAACACTGTAAAATAGCTTGAAAGCTTTTCTCGCTCAAATTGATTTCACAAAATTTTATCTGTATTGATCAGTGGAAGATGTGCATTAACTTTCTCACTGAATGGTGCTGTAAAATTTTGAAATTTAAATGATAATCAAACCCATCAACATGTATTGATGATTCAAGATCATCCGCCAATATCAAGTTTCCCCTTCATGAGATTTCAGGAAACCTCATAGGGTGAAGGATTCAAATTTTAAAATATCATTAAGATGTCCTTTCATCTTTCACTTATTCTACTTAAAGACAACAACAACTTATGATATAAACTGAGACACTACGAACGACCTGATTGGTCAAACTTATATTTCATTGCATCGTTAAACCCACAGTATATTTCATAAAAGCGATATATCGCACTTTTTATCGGTTAACCGCGTTTATAAACTTTCCTTGTGTTCTAAACATGTAGATCACAAACGTCTTTTTCTTTTGTCTACTGTTTTTATACAAACGACCTTAACTACAGTAAAAAATTTTGGGCGTGCGCTGTGCATTGTAACGTTACGTAACGTAGCACGTATTTAAGGCGTTGTTCATCGAAGTTGTTAGTTTTACTCAGTAGGTCCGCTTGCGATTATATTTCATATTATGTTTCATGCAATCATATCTCTACGTATTGCACTACGTGCCGCCTCTTCGCCGCTCTGCAATAATTCAGCAGTATTTCTTCAGCATCGCAACAAATGTAACTTTTGGTATTTTGTAGGCTTCACTGTTATTTTCGTTGTAATTTTCCAAAGTGTATTTAGTTTTAGCGTATTTAGTTTAATCCAAATTGTAATAGGTTTTCACTCGTTTTTTTTGTTTACAGTTGGAACCGATCCTACCAACTGTTGAAATAGAATATACCATTAAGTCACGTTAAAAACTATCTGTATTTATTGCTGAAAGTCACCCATGGCATCCACGTCCCACGAGGGACTATTATACCGCTAAGCCGATAAGATGTGTAGTTTATTGCCTAAATGAACGAGCAAATCATTTGACCATTCAAATTCATTGATTAAAACAAGCACCTCTTCATATTTCCCTTATAAAAATTTTACACTCCTAATTTGGTCTCAATCTGATCACTCTAAAGGAAGCTGTAATAAACGAGTGAAGCATTTTACAAAGAGACGGGACTGCAAAAAAGCCACACAGTTTGGATCTCTCGTCACAAAGCTAGAGTGCGACGATATTCTATCCACACAATGTCGAATATTAGTGAAGTCGGAAACCGCTCATCGACAGCACACTTTTACTACTGCGCCAATTGTTTGAATGGACTTCACAAGCAGATCATATCATCCTTAAACGTGCTAATAGCCATCACATCCTTTCCAGGAAACCTCTTAATAATTGTTGCCCTTCAAAAGGTTATTTCGATTCATCTGCCATCAAAACTTTTGTGCAGCTGCCTAGCATTGACGGATCTTTGCGTCGGAATCATATTGCAGCCTTTGAATATTGCCTATATGTTGTCTACGCACTACTATAGTCTCTGTTAATATCTGGAATATGTTTCTCCAGTTGTGGCCTTATCTCTCTGCGGCGTATCTTTGTTCACGTCAACTGCAATAAGTGTGGAAAGATTGTTCGCGCTGGTGCTTGGGTTAAGATATAGACAAACCATCACTAGGAAACGTGTCTGGGCCTTTGTAATTTTTTCTTGGCTTGAAAGCAGTAGTAACGCAGTAGTTTACCTATATGGATATCGCATTCTTTTATTTACCGCCAGTGCAATGTTGTTGTGCAAATCAACGTCTACGTTCTGTTATGTGAAAATCTATCGTATATTTCGCCATCACCAGTTTCATGTCCAAGAAATTATTTACCTCTCGCGGCCAAATAGGAAGTAAGTACCAATCAATATTGTACGATACAGAAAAACAGTTTCCAGTGCACTTTGGATATCACTTGTGTTGTTAGTTTGTTATCTACTATTTGTTATAATGATATTCGTAGAGTACATAACTTATGCGCCAATTTTTGCTCTATTTTTTTGAGTAAGCAATAACTCTTGTTCAGTTGAACTCATCACTGAATCCATTGCTGTACTGCTGGAAAATGAGAGACTAAGGCAGCAGTGAAAGATGTGGTTAAAGAGTTCTTCTGCTTCCAAAGTTAGTATTGTTGCAGAGATCTTTGCTTTGGCCGGAATTGCCTGATCACAGAAGTCATTTTAAGGTCCGCTTCAGAGCAGGCTTTTTTTTATAGAGAAAATTGGATTTTATCAACATTAAATAAAAAGGGAGAGCTTTTCTCGCTGAAGATCCGTTGGCTGATCCTTAGCTATTTGTCGTCATTATAATAATGACAATGCAAAAGGATTGTCATCATTATTATCGTCATCATTACCATCATCATTATCGTTATCACATTTATGATCATAACTTATCCCTTTACCGGTTATGCTAACGATGATCCATAAATTATATATATTTCTTACATGTTTGTAATTTCAAAATTTTAGTCTCACTGATAGTATTTAATATTTTCTAAGACAAATAATTAGTGCATTGTTTCATAAGGCCTAGGTTTGCGGCCGATAGAACGCGCTTTATGATTGGCTAAGAGCGATAGTAAAGCAGAGCTTTAACTTCTTAAGACTAAAGGCCCCATCACGAATCATACAACAGAGTAATAACGCAAAAAGTTTCGAAAGGACTGAAGTTTTATTATTTTTAAATGAAGAATACGTTCAAACTCATATCCTTGACGAATTAAAAAGTGACGTTTACATAGTATAGCTTCAGATTCCTGCTTAATCATGAAATGGACACCTTTGAGAGAAAAACCCAGAGAAATTTATTATACCTTACTCACACTTGATATCAAGATATAAAAAGTTATTAGCATCAGAGGTAAGGTCGTAAACAAATTAATGTGTAGATTGAAGAAAACCTAACTCTTAAATTTTTCCTATTTTGGAAAAAGGTTTTCAAATCATAATTAATGAAAAAAAAAGACAATAATAAAAAAAGACACTAGCACAAAACGTCCGATCTCTTCTTTTTACCTTTGCATCTTTCCTTTTTTGCACCTACTTCTTATATGCTCCATTGATTTTAGGAGCAAGTGTCCGACGAAGTTAATAACCATGCCTTGTTCCAACTAAACTAGAAATATATAGACCAACTCGTTAATTGGGGCTTTAGCCAGCTTGAGTTCCACCGAGTAAACTGACTACCCTGTTTAAACCCTCGCCATTCTGTTACGTTTCGCCTTACAACCGATCTTTTGCAGTCTTGATAAAATATGTTTCTAAAAATGGCTGGAGTTTCACTACTATCGGTGTATCGTACAGTTCTTTTATTTTCAGCTTTAGAATATTACGCTGATTGCATTCTTTTCTTTCTTTGGAACAAAAGTGGTAGGAAAAAGCGACCAAAGTTTTTTTTAAGAAATGTTAGCTTCCGCTTAAATTTTCTATCGCTCCATACTGTGAAAACTAACATGTCTTAAAATCACATGTTACTTTGAGTGTCTCCAAAATACTTCACTAAGGAATAGGTATGCATATTCTCAAATGACACCAATTAGTGTCTCTGAGGATAGCATCTCTTCTTATCAAGGCGATATATTCTAGAACACTATTCTTTTCCGGATCTTTCATGCCTCGGAGTAAGTGAATTCAGGTCTTTCGTAATCGTTTTGATGTACGTCACTTAAAGCAAAGTAGTCCGTATTGTTCTCTAACGGCAAATCATTGCTGGTACGTAGTCTAGAAACATCGATCTCCTTATAGACAGGATCATCGACTTGGGGGTCATCTCTGGCAAATTCGAATACGGGATTGCCATACCCCATATCTATACCCCGGTCAGAGGCTGTCCTACGCACGGCACTGTGAGACAAAACAAAATAAACATGGTTAAAAGTTGTCTTCGTGTACCAACAGTAAGTAACTAATCATATCAAATATTTTTTTTCAATGGATGTTGTTCAATTTCTATTGCGATCGCTGTAATTACTTTTATTTTACGATTTAAAGATAGGATAGAGGAAGGAAAGCTTAGTGTCGACTCACTTAATAGCAACGGCGGACTCCGAGGGAGAGTCAGATGGGTACAGACCCGCCCCACCCACCCCTCCCCAGTTAAAGCAGCGGTCCCTTCAGCGGTTTGGTTATTTCAGTGGAGGGGGAGGGGGAGAAGGGGGTTGGTTGAGAAGTAGCTAGTAGCGAAAAAGGTATGTCATCTGAAGTGGAGTACGGACCCCACCTGTTAAACATTTGCGGATCGAACCCGCAACAAAAAGAAGAAGCCAAGGTTACCGGGACACGAACCAGGCGAAGAAAAGACTCAAGCAAATGGCGGAAATCGAGTCTACCTAAATATCGTCATCGCCAATAGCCCTTTTTCGAGCAACATTTATGTGAAAGTTACAAGGCAAGATCGCTATCTCTACTTTCAGAAAACAATATAGTGCAGGTTTGATATTAAAAACTGTGCGGTGAACTCCACTCAGAAGAGCTTTGTGGTTTTATATGTAACAATAAGTAAGGGAGGTTAATTTGTTAAAGAAACCATTTGATGTACGATTGCGAAATATATCTATATTCCTTTCTACCTCTTAATCTTCTTCCTCTAATTTTATTAAATGTTATTTTCTTTTGATAATTCATTTTTGTTACACTGTATCAGGATAAGAAAGGCTAACTTCATAACTTGTTTAGGGCTTTCTGTGCACTATGGGCTAAATAAATCCCCCTTTAAGAAGATAACCCACCAAGGTCTCGTATTGGAGAATATTTGTCTGATACCTAATGCTTGTCAAGGTAACCAGACTGTAAATATTCGGACATAACAAAAACAAACTTACCGACGATGTTTCTTTACGTAGAAGATGGCGATAATAATCAGGGAAATAATAAACAGTACAGATCCTGCTGCAATACTTGAATAAAGAGTTACTGGCTTTAAGCCGCCTTGTTGTTCATCACTGGATATACTTGGAATTTCTAGGGGAAAAAAGTGAAGATCGCATAGAATCAGACTACGGAGCTTCTGGTGAAATGAAAGAGCGCGCAAACCTTTCAGACTTAGTGACATGTTAGAGTTGTCGGAAGGGACTGGTACCTCCCACGTCACTATTACGTACGATTGACCAATTATAAAGATATATGTTCTTCTGTTTGGTACCCTTGCAAATCGTCTTTGTTGTATCCGCACTCCACGATCCACTTTCGAGGCAGGATACGCTACTTTCGCCTACCAGTCGGTAACCAAAAGCACTGGGTTTTATAATAAACACCAAAAACTGATCTGCACGAATTTGGAAAAACAGCTCCATGAGATGGAGGCTCAATGGCTTGGCACCTCATAACTTAAGATAAAAGAAATCATGTGATTAAGTTCCTGATTTTTAAGCAGCTATCAGGAATCATCAATTTAAATCATGTCTTTGAAACCTCTCCTATTTACCTTTACAAATCTAAATATTTTCAGGATGCTCGAAAAGATAATGTTTGTTAGTCATGGGTTGTCACTTAACTGTGAAATGGCTAAGACTGTTTGAGTTGTCTAACCAATTCCTGCACTGGAAAAAAAAAACTAAAGACAAAAGACTGGAGACCAAACGCAAGCTGACTCGCAAAGTAACATATACTTACTATTACATGTAGAGGTGTTTCCTGACCAGGAGCCGTCCTCTTTGCAAAAACGCTCTCGAGACCCGATTAACTGATATCCCCTGTCACAAGTAAAATTAGCTTGGGAACCAAATGAAAAGCCACAGGAAAGGTCCAAACTTCCATGTGATGGTGGCTGAAGTGTAATGCAGGATTTCCCTGTGAAAATAAAGCCTTATTATGTTGAATTGACGCAATTTCAAGTCTTATAATACACTTGTATTCAGTATTATTGTATTTTCAAGAGAGAAACTATGGATCTACCTGGAAACAATTTTGCTTGCGATAGCTTAGAAGATAAGTATAACAAAACATACATAGACATTTATAGAAGAGTATACGAGCAATATACAAACATTTATCAAAAGCGATAGAAAACAAGCAACGTTTTTCAAAGGCATAGTCAATGTCACATATTTCGATGACATACTCGCAACTTTCACCACGAAGGTGCAGTTAGCTCTGTTTCCGTCGGCGTCTGAAGCTGAATATATTATAAAATAGACTCCAATGCTCAACTGAGCTAACGGTCGAATGGAAGGGTAGTTAACAATCACGTGACCAGAATTATCATCAGCAGTTGGTTCATTCCATCCAACAAAAGCACTGGATGAGCATTCAGGAGTATAGACCACCATGTTCTCTGGACAAGTATTATTGAAAGAAGGAGGAGTTGTGTCTGCAAAAATAAAAAATTGTCTAATTGGAATACATATATATGTATTGGTATCGAAAATGACCTTTTTAGTTTGGAATAAGATACCGCAAATTAGCTCAGACTGTTTTCCCCTTGTTTCATCCTTCGTTTTTGTTTACATGTTTATCAGTCGTGCTTATTTTTCGATTTTATGAATGGAAAGACGAGACGATATCTTTACAGTCGACAACCAGAAATTATTTTGTCGGGACTCCCATAACCACTTTCACAGCCAAATACACAATTTGAACCATACGTGTTGCCGCATGAAGAGGTCAGTAGTGCCTCTTTCCGTGGGATGATCAAAGTTAGACATTTTATGACTGTTTAAATAAGACGAAACTTAAAACAAATAGATGTCACTTTCAAAATAACACAAATGGTCATTTTGCAAAAGATGGATAATCTTTGTATTGATTTTTGTAATCCTCAGCAGGGCTTTGAATAATGAATGAATATGAGGAACAGGAATACGCTAATGTCAAGGAAACAAAACAACTGTCATATACAGAAGAACTTTACTCGCAAGACAAAAGTATGAGTTTTACTTCCTCAAAGTAGTATAATGATGAAATCTTAACTCTAGAACTGCGAAAGAAGCAATGTAGAATGAATGCGAGTGTTTCGGAAGATCTTTTTTCGTTGCACTCATAACTAGTTAGAGAATGAGTGATGGGATAACTAAGAAACGAAACGTAGACATGGATTATTTTGACGCAATAAGAATACTACACTTAAAATAGAGAAATTGCGGCTGGTAACAAGGAGAGACATGTCTGGTTTCTTTCAAGATGCACTCTCATCCCCATAACCCCTCCCCTAAAATCATTATGGAAGAAGGAAATAGTAATTGAGATCAGTTACCGTTACACTGAGTTGGAGTTCCTGTCCAAGTTCCATTACTGTTACATGTTCTTGTTGTTGATCCTGTCAAAATGTACCCTTTGTTACAGGAAAACTCACAGGTTTGTCCCGGCAAATTAGAGCAGGGCTCTAGACTTCCATGTGGCGGGGCATACAGCTGTTGACAATACCCCTCTATGAAAAAAAAAGTCAAACAACAATTATTCTTCTTTTCTAAACTGGCAACTGGTTCGTTCTTGAACGCGCCTTCGTCGAGATTGGAAATACACAGAATATCGGGAGGGCTCAAAAGATGCGTAAGAACCGAAAAAACCGAAGAAAAGAACACCTCCTACTGTCGTCAGTGTTCCTAGAACGTAGCAAGTGCTTCATTAAAAGATGAAGGCCTAATCAGTGCATGAATCAGACATTTAACACAATTTTTTACATTTGTATCGATTCAAATGTTGTATGATAATATCTAAAAAATTACCTCTACCACCATTCAGTGTGCTCCCCAAAATTAATCGACTGAATGGATGTAATCAACAATTAACTTCCTCTAACGATTTCAAAACATTTAAAACCATGCAATGAAAATTAACGAACAGTCGATGTCTCTAGCTCCTTACCTCCTTCACAAATGAAGGCATTACCAGGCTTCAGCTGAACTCCCTCTGGACAAAAACATTGATGTCCACTCGGATTTGGAAGACAAAGATGACTACAGCCTCCATTGAGTTGAGAGCAGCTTGTTGATCCTAGCAAAATACATAAAGTTTTAACTGTAATCAAAGTTTTTGTAGTCAATGTCACTTTAACTAGCAGACGGTTATGCCGTGTTCGAAGAAAAAAGGGAATTCGATTCCATCTCCAAACCTTATCTGCTCAAGTATATGAATGTTATGTATGTGCAGTCAAATATTTCAATACCGTTTGAATAGCCCTTAGTAATTAAATTGACACGAGAATCATTTTCATGGCAAAAGGTCATGACAACGCCGAGCCAACATCGAAATCATTTTGTTACAATATGGAAATATTCTACCAAGTCTAAAGTACACCTGTCATCAAGCCAACCAGGTCATCTTGGTAAAGGTTGCAGAAATAGAGTTAGCCACTCCAGAGTGTGCACCCACCTGCTATTGTTTTTTTCTGATCGTAAACATGCACTTCCATCGGCCTTCCCATTCCATAGACCAACACGTCACTTTGAGAAGATGTCAAATTGTACTTATGAATACTCTGACTCTTCCAGTCAGACCAGTAGAGAGTGTCACCAGACAGGGAAAGTCCAAAGGGATGATGGTTGTACGAAGACAAATCTAGAAGTAGTTCTCGATTATTTCCTTGAAAGTTTGCCCTTTCTATCTTATCGAGTTGTGCGTCGCACCAATACAGCAGCTTATTCTGCGAATCTAGAGCAAGTGCATTAACCCAGACAAGTCCAGAGTTTACAATAACTGTCCTGGCAGACCCATCCATGTTAGCTTGCTCAATCTTTGGTGATGATCCCCAATCACTCCAGTACATTTGTCTAAAATAAATGTTTCACAGTGCTTTTATCACCATTTACCATTTATAGATGAAAAACTTTACTTAGTCATCATTAAATCCAATCTCCAACTTTGGGGTCTTCAGGCAAATAAGATAAAAAAAAACTCTCTCAAAGTTAATTCACGATGAATGAAAGTTTTCCAACTGTTACAGGAAACAGCAACATCTTCAATGATAACCTTCATAGCTTTAGTATTGCTTGTAATAGAGGTATATCTATCCTTAATTATTATCTGTTCCTCGAAGGAAAACAGCTTTCTTCAAGATTCTTTCTGGAAGACTTTCTGTTTCTCGATACAAACAACGTCCAAGGACGATTATCGCACCAGTTGGAGGCTATTCCACTAAAATTGGTGTGCGTAGAAAAGCACAATTACAATTACTTAAAAGCTTCTCAAGATCAACGAAAATTCTAAATGTGACAACCCTCCCTTTTCTAATAGCTGGAAACTTTCCAGTTCTTAAGAACTATTTTTCTGCTGTGTATCATTCATTTGGGAAATATCAAGAAAAGTGTACCGCAAATTGAATTAAAAGAACAAAAGCTTTGATTACCTCTCAGGTATATCTAGAATTATAGCTCTTGGATTTTCAATCCCTGTTGTGATGAGGCTTTTCCGAAATGATCCGTCTAGCCGTGCTACCTCAAGTTTGCTAGTTCCAGTATCAGTCCAGTAGAGAATCCTTTCAATGTAATCTACTGCAAGGCCATCCGGCATTACCACGTCAGTGTACGCTATGACCTCAACTGACGATCCATTTGGAAATGCTCTCGCCAACAGTTTCAGGGTCACATCTGTCCAATAGATTTTACCCTCAACTGGGTCGTAGTCAACAGCCACGGGCGTGGAGATATTTATGTTGATTTGAAGCAGATAGCAAGGTGTGTTCGCCACTGCTAAAGGAACCTTGTAAATTTCACCATGATTCGCTTCGGCGAAGAGCAAAAAAAGTTCATCGCTTGTCTTTTGGAACAAATCTTTAAGGCAAAAAATAAACAACAACGACAAAATAAATAAATAAATAAATAAATAAAACCCAAAAATATGTTTCAGATGGTTGACCTCGCTCTAGACCTTATTTTTGTGAATAAAGTCTACTTATGAAACCCAGAAACGATATGTGGGAAATCCATAGTACGGTGTACACACTGACCATAAACTACAACTTGTTGCTCTTATTTCTGCTTTTTCGAAATTAGTAAAGCTGATCTCTTCTTCTCCACGGGAGTGTAAGAAGAAATCTTGATATGCACGATCAATGATAAAAAATCCTTCCCCCCCCCCCTGCCTTCGTAATGCTTGAAACATCGAATAAGTAGCCTCACCATAGTCGCAATTTTTTCCGTCCTCTTTAAGAACGATTCCCGTCGGACATGCGCACTGGTATCCTCTTGGCTTTAAAAGACACAAATCACTGCAAATGCCATTGTTTTGCGAGCAGGAATGTGGCCCTTTAAACAGAAAGTAAATAATAATAATAATAAATAAAACATCAATAAAATTGAGATCAGTGGTTACTTCTAAAAGTCATTTCCAAGCCTCTTGAGCAACTCGAATCATTTATTACCATCTTTGATAAGAAACACCATCAGCTAAAGAATTATTAAACCTTTCACTACAAATTAAAGTTTATCTTTTTGAACAGTATCAGGAAGGATTATCGGTAAAACTACAAATATCACGATTACTTCAAATTACACACTTGAGACAAAATGTAACGGTCCAATGATGTAGCTGACTTTTGTAAGACTTTTTTTCATACATGTCCGGCCGTAAGTGATTGCCTTTATGAATATTTGGTAACTCAGAGAAGATAAGAGAGAGGCAGTACTTTTACCTGAGAATATCAAGGAAGGATCAAACACGTGAATGTCCATCGGCTTCTGTAGATCAGGAATCACCACGTTCATCTGACCACTAGTTGCATTATAACTTGTAACACTCTGCCTATTCCAATCTGTCCAGTAAATAATGTCCTGATAAATTGTTAATCCATAAGGATGAATTCCAGCTGTGGATGGTAAAACAGTCTGTCAGTTTCCTCCATCCAGATTAGACATCTCTATAGTGTCTAGTTTCGCGTCTGCCCAGAACAAACGGTTTGTAGCCTGGTCTAGGGTAAGTCCGTTTGGCCAGGCTAGATTTCCCGTAACAATGGACCTTCTGCCCGAGCCATCCATTTCTGCTTTCTCTACCTTTGGATTGGCGCCCCAGTCTGTCCAATACATCATACTAAAAGAAATTATTTATTCCAGACATTGTTAAGAATTTTTTTGACAAAGTCCACCAAGGTTTAGCTGCTAACACAGCCCAATGGCCTTTGAAAGTATATCTTAACTAACAGTTATTGCAAAATAGATGGATGATTGCATTTTATATATCATAAGGATACGTCGCCATTTCTTCAGATCATCGTCAGATTCTTCCTGTTTTTGAAGTCCATTCAACTGGGTAAGAGCATTTGTAGTAGTTAGCTTGTGTCAAAGCCGTGGACAACTAAAAGGCTACGTTTACTACTTATGATACTTCTTTGCCGTTTCCACTACAACGCGTTCACCAGCGGATACAAAAACATTTCAGTCTTAAAAAACTCGTTACTTACCCATTTCTTTCATCCAGCAGAATGGCTCTTGGTTCATCAAGTCCAGTATTGATCAATTCTTTCCTACCTGATCCGTCAAGACGCGCTACTTCAATTCTGTTAGTTCCAGTATCGGTCCAGTAAATGTTCCGTGCTGCATGGTCAATAACTAAACCCTCGGGGTTTAGGATATTACAACGAAAAAGGTTTTTCAATGAGGTTTCATTGGTAAAAGCGCTGACGATTAGACCTTCAGCAACGTCCGACCAGTACACGCGATCTTCGACAGGGTCATAGTCCAAAGCGATAGGACGCTGATTTCCTACATGGCTATATAGTGTTTGAACGACGAAGTAACTTACATCCAGTGAAATGATATTTGTTGATTTGTCGTCGGCGTCAGCAAAAAGAATGAACCTCTTTACTTCTGCAATTATAATAAAAACAGCGTTTGTTGCCATTGAAAGACTCGGTAGGGAGGATGATTGATTCATCTCCATGCAGCAGGTTGTCATAAACCTCAAAGTGTTATTGATCTCTCGAACAAAGAATGCACATAACGACCATGCATTACTCGTTGTTTTTTGGAATCAGAAGGCTGGCTTTAAAGGTGGCATGCATGTTCGCCGGTGGGTGGGCGGAGGAAAAATCTACCTGTTTAAATATTCACATGTGGTATACTCATCTCGAAATTTGACCGTTAATAGAATTGCAGAATTACAAGCAGACAAGTACTATTGTATTTTACTTGAAAGGGCTGACATAACTTTGTTAGTATCTATGCACCATCTCCAGCAATCAATAAACAGTTTTCTTACTTTCTTCACACGTCTTTCCATCTTGCTTTACTGCTAGGCCCGTAGGACACACGCATTCATGGTTGGACGCCTTAGGAACACAGAAATGACTGCATCCTCCATTGTTTACAGAGCAAGGACCTGAAGCTTAAGAAAGAAACAATTTTTAGCGTAAAAGCGTGCAGTTTATACTGTCAACCATACAGCTATTTCATAAGCTGCACAATTTGACAACACCACTGACTATTTTAACCTCCACTTCCTCATATACTTTAGACCAAATTCTGAAAAGGAATGCAAATTTAGGCGATTGATCATGAAAAGTGTGAACGGAAAAGAACGTAGTAGTACGGCTGATAGCTTTGTTTACCATATACCTTCGAGTTTGCAAGCTTTTCTTTTGGGTCGAAAGTGGGAAAATGTTGTTGAAATGTACATCAGCTCTTCACGAGCGGAAAATATTTTTTAGTGCCCTCACTCATGGCAGACACAACAATGATAACGTTGCTAGCCTCCATTTGATATCCTCTTTATGAAATGCACCGAGACTCAACGCTAAAATAACGTCCAGGACGTCGTCAATACCTCTTGACTTTCACAGGTGATTACCAACAGTGTTTGATGAGGGGAACCTAGTTCATGAGTAGCTGATAGCCTCCTTAAGATTACCTGCTGGTTGTCGCCCACTGTCGTATGCAACAATTCCCATAGGTCGCCCACCATTAATACTGAAACTTTTGAGTACCTCTCCGGTTGTAGCGTCCAGCATGTGCAACTCCCTGTATGTCACCCAGTCAGTAAAGAACAGGAAAGGAGGGATCAACGCCATTCCGAATGGATGTAGGCTATGCATCTCAAAAAGCAGTTTCCTGTTGTCACCATTGTAGTCGACCGATTCCACTCTGTCGTAACCGGCATCTACCCAATAGACTCTTTTGCCTCCTCTGTCGAGGTCAATTCCATTCGGCCAGTAGACTTCTTTTGTTACGATGGCGACTCTTTGCTGTCCGCTCAAGGAAGCTTTTTCAATTTTGGGAGCGCTTCCCCAGTCAGTCCAAATCATTGCACTGTTTAAGTGACGGTATCAATAGGTTAAACTTAAGTAGAATTTTGAGGTGAGACAATGAATCAATGATTTATCCAGTCTTATAACTAGCCAGTTAGCAAGCCTACTGGTCGGTCATTTAATGGGTTGGCTTACCAGCCAGTTAGCTAATCATTTAGAGGGTCAGTCAGTCAGTCTGTTGTTCAGCCAAATCGGCACATCGATCAATGAATCAGTCGGTCAGCTTTTACATTGTTCAGTCAATGAATTTATGACATTCACTTTACAGTTCAAAAGGAAGGCCTCAGACGATTAGCAAAGATCGATTATTTCATAAAAGGAATGCTATTTAAACCATTCTGGAATATTTGGAATGAGTCTTATTCCGGGAGATAAATTAGGTCGACGACTAAAACAGCTAAGATCATCACCCTGCTTGAAAAATTATTAAAAATATATACGTTGATTTTGAAAAACAAATTATTGTCGCCGTTTTTAATGAGATTTGAATTAGTAGAAACATTATAAAAACCTTATGAAGGTTGCAAAGAAACTATTGAGAAATCGGTTGCGCTCTCCGAATCTTACTAATTAATGTATTGGAAGTTCGATAAGTGCACACTGTATTATATCCGAGCGGCTAATCATAATGTACTTATAAATCGCACAAATATGACACTTACTCGTTGTCCGGATCAAGGGCTATGGCTCTGGGTTCTTCCAATGCCGAGGAGATTAAAGTAAATTGGTTGTTTCCATCCAGGTCTGATACCGATATCCTATTATACGTTGTATCAGTCCAATACAACTGAGATGTCCTCCATTGAACGGCTAATCCATCGCAGACACCAATATTAGTTATAACTGTAGTCGTGTTTTCCTCACCGATCCGAAGTCGTTTGATGTTCAGTTCCGTCACGTCACTCCAAAATATGAAGCCCAGGCTGAAATGGACGTCTATAGCAACAGCTCTTGTAAGGCCTAGAATCACTGAGTTTACCTTTGCTTTTCCATGATCCACTGCTACTATATCAGTTGTATTTGATACCAACAGACATGGTGGAGTGCAAATTATTGCTAGGAATAGAAAAATTCGAAGCAGTAAAAGTGGAGACAGTGTATTGCACCAAACCAGATAACCGATTATTTTATCGCTGGCAACGCCCGTGGGCCAGCAATATCAAACGAATCATGTGCTCTGATTGGACTATATGTCATCTGATTGGGCCCATCTTTCCCGCTTGGGATTGCCCCCTTTCATCCCGTCCAAGATGAATATTGTGTGGAGCAGCATGGAGCGGACTTACAAAGTTCGTAATTTAGGAAATTTTTGGCGGTGTAGACGCAAAAAGCAAAGAACAATAAGCGACACTCCTAAAAACAGAGTCGGCTTTTTGGTCAACAGAATTAATGAAAAGGAAATTTTTGGACCCATACCTCTGTTAAGACGATCATTAAGTGCCATATGTTAATACCCATACAAGCGATATCAAAAGTTCAATTTATGATACATTCCATTGAGTAACCGCGAAACCTCCAATTGGTGCCAAAGGCAATAGGTATCTCAATATCATCGATATCAAAAGCTAAATTTATGTTACATTCCATTGAGTAACCGCGAAACCTCCATTTGGTGTCAAAGGCATTAGCAGCTTAAGCAGCACCTTTCACTCAGTGGGATAAGTCTAATTAAGTTGCGCGTTTTAACCGTGAAGATTCTGTTTCTTTTCCTATTAGGATGTAATAATCCTTAATGTAATCAAAAGAAACCCTAAAATTCCTGAATTGAGAAATTACATGCACAATTCTCAATTATTCCTGTGGTTTTATAAAATAACCGATACGTGAAGTAAAATTTAGATGTAAATAAACTAAACAATTTTTATAACAAATATGCCGTCAATTCATGACCGACATGCGGTTTCAAATTGGTAAAAACTTCGTATAAATTATATTCCACCCAGAAACGTGGGATGCTTAATTAGTTGTGGTTGACAGATTTAACGCGATTATGCAATATCAAAAAGGTTTCAAATAACCGAATAAATGCACCAAAAAGAGTTACATTTTAAATCAATCGAACAAGGAATATCTTATCCACAACTGACTGATCAAGGGATGTTTCCGAGTATGGCGTGTATCAGGCTGGCAACACACCTAAGCTGAGTGACCGAGTGACAATTGTTCGAATTAGCGCAGATAACTAACTGACAGATATCTACGAAAAAGTGTTTCCAAGTATTCATGATGCCTGGAAAGTCAAAGCACGCTCAAACATGTATTTTTCATCATTAAATAGTAAAAGAACAAACGGTCTACATAAAAGGATGAGATATGAATTTGAAACCAAAAGTTCGCTACACGTGTCTACGGAAAAAAATATATTTGGGACCGCTTTTTGAGACCGTAAAGAGCGAAAAGGGCATTTGTATTCCCATTTGTCTATAGTTGTTTGCTTACATGCAAAACAAACCCAATTAATCCTATATAACTAATAATAATAATGCTCACCCCCTCCCCCTCCCCTCCACGTTATCGTCTACGTTTGTTATTGTATATTATATTATTCAAACATGCATGGGATATATTCATGGTTAATGCACACAACACAAAAGAACAAACAAGCTGGCGTGTCAATAAAAAGGATCTAATTTTTAGCTGGCACTATCATGAAGTAAAATTTACCTCCATCTGATTGTGAACTCTTCATCAGAAACACTGACGCCAACTTTATCCACCACAGAACATTCGTCATCTCCATAAATAGTTCCTGAGGCAATACAAAAGAGAATGATAATGGTTGAAAATGAAAACGGTTTAGCAGCTTATTATCTGCCGTGAGTGGTGATCTTCCTCGAGAAGAGTAAGATGGAAGACAAGTTTCTATGTGGCTTTTTTTCCCCAAGATATCCCTCTAGCTTAGGCAAATTATAAAACAACTGTCAATAGAGTGAAGGCCAGAAATATTGCATTGAAAAGGGTATACATCACGCTGGACTTCTCAATAGAGATATATATTTGTCCTCCACCATCCAAACGGATAGTTTCTGACGTTGGCGAACATAGGGTGCAAACAGTAAAAAAAACGTATGAAAATAAAAAATAGCTAAGGGATTCTCTAAAAGATCAAACTCTGAACGACCGACTGATAAACGAGTTGCTCCTTTCAGTCAATTAGGCAACATTAAAACGGACTCTCACACAAAAATTACTCCGCTACAACATATTTGTAAACTACACCCAACTAATCTATTTGCAGATACACTAACGATGAATTTTGACTAACCATTTTCACTTTTGGATCCAACTAGACTAATTTTTAAGATGTTTATCGGCCAAGCAGAATAAAATAGTTGATCTTTGGCAACTAGTTCCCTCAATTTCAGCACAAAAAAAACTAACCAACACAATACATGGATTAATAAACAATTCGTCTCCGTCTCGATATTTAAGAAATTTAAGCTTAGTCGTGAAGCCTTTAGCCCATTGAGACGATTGGTAAACGAGAGTTGCCGCAAGAAAGGGAAGAAATTTCAGAGCTGCGTAGCAAAGAATTGTGACTAATATTGGTTACTACGCAATTTATCGACTAATTTTGCTTAGTCAAGCGTCATATTTAACTTTTCAACCTGTCTTGTGATTGTAATGATCATAGAAATTTTTTTTTTCGCATACTTTGAGGTGGTTTTGTTTGTTTGCTCATTTCAAAATGCCCCCTCTTTCTTCGCACAAGAGCAGTCTTGTTTACGATTATTTGTCTTTATAATAAAATTCGGATATAACACGTACTGTCATTGGTTGAATGAGCGTGCTCTATGAGAGTATAGAGCATAGAGCTGAGCTGAAGCTGTCACGCCATTTGCCAAATTGTACTATATATGTCGGACCTTTTCCGGGACTTCTTTCTAGCTTTTCTTTCGTTAATTGAAAGTGAAATTTCGGAACAAGCGAGCAAATAGACAGTCCGAGTTCTAACGGTTTTCACGCTCAGTTAGATTGCAAGTTTACGTACAGTAATAAAAATCAAACACAGCTGACACTTGAATAGTATATAAAGTTCCGTTTTCAAAGACATAACAGGGATGATGAAAAATATAACCGGGCATAACTGTTAAAATTCATACTAATTATGACGGTGTCAGAGCGACTTCGATCGTGCTGAGGTCTATCGCGGCTAGCTCATCATGGTTATCTTCAGTCATCGCAAAGAAAGAAAGCCCCATGAACTAAATCGACTACCCTTCGTGTGGATAAATAAGAGCTTGCTCTGATTACCTTTCCGATGCGTCGAGGGGTAGCTTACATCAGTCACTGCAGCCGAGTTTTACGGTACTGTCATTCCGAGCGATCTTCATGTCCTAGTGAATTCGGCTGTTGTTCATACATAATACACTCGCCTTGAACAGTTTATTTTTTACTTGTCATGTGACATAACTTCCGTATTTTTGTGAGCCACGATTGGGCCGAATTTCACTGAACATTTCACTTTCAGATTCTGTATTAGAAACTAAAAAACTTCAGGCAAAAGTGTAAAATTCGACATGACGAACTATTTTAGTATGTAAACTATTGCAGAATATGAACTTTGATGGTTTTCGAACTTTGATGATTTGACATTTTTGACAGCTTTAGTCTTGAACAGCCAATCAGATTATTTGAAGCATTCTAACAGGCATTCTGATAAGCTTATTGTAGCATGCTTTATGAGAGTATGGAGCATGCTGACGACACTGTGGTTCGCTTTGGAAATAACATTTGTTTTGAAAGTTGTGAGTAATTCTTGGGGGATTTAACTTATTCTTTATTATAAAACAAGTAGAGAAGCCTTGACTGTGCTCTGTCCTGTTGTAAAGCACTTAGAAAGCGGTAAGAGCACGAAAGAAGTGTAGGGGGAAACACGAGATGTAGTCGAGTGCTTTAGCCGCTTCCTAAGTGCTTTACAACAGAACAGAATACAGTCAAGGCTTCTCTATTTGTTAAACAAACAAAGATCGTTTGAGTTAGAAATAACTTTCTGTTCATCTGAGTTTTCCCGGACTTGATAAAGTATTCATTTGCATGCCGAGGGGAACCACTTGGGATGAACTTTCTCGGAGTCCTTTTTTGGTGTAGCATATTGATATTTCAAAGTGCCATCAACGACGAACACTTTTTCTTTTTTTAGGATCTACGTCGGCCACGGCTGTTCTCCCGAACGTGAAAGTGTTTCTGACAGGAAATCATTTTTTTTTTTTTAAAAATACCGGAGTTTATCTTTTCCCAGATATATATTATAAGGCAAACATTTAGCGCAACCTTGCACATCTTGAGCTGTTAGAAATGTATTTCAGCAGACCCTCAATAACAGTGATTTGTGTTATCGAACTTGATCTGAAAACGTTGTCTGCAATTCAAGTGTGAAAAACAAGGGAGCCAAGGCCTATAGTCTCGTGCCGCTTGTTTCCAAGTAGAAGAATGTGATCACGGATAAAGCATAGGAAAAAAACACTGTCATATTTTGTTCTTAATCAATTTAGTCAGTTCAATGTACATATGTTCAGACCCCCACTTTAAGTGGAGTTTGGAGCGGTTCAAAAGGAAAACACAGAAGACACATTCTTTTCTAAATCTACAACAAGTTTAGTTAAAAAAGGAAAAAACTCGGTCCATAAATGTCTTAATTACAACATAGCCGTAGAATTATCGCTGATAAAGTGCCGAGTACTACAAGTTCACGTCGGTGCAAACAACGCTTAGGAGTATCACGTTCTTAGTTGTTTGGGTCCTTGTCACTAATTTTATTAAACATGGAAAGTAGAAAACTAGTGAGTGCTAGTTCGAAAGTCCTGTAAGTTTCACTATCTCGAGAGTAGATTTGGAAAGGAAATAAAGTTTCAATAAAGGCGCTGGATGTGATTCATCTATCTCAGCAGCTAATCAACGTCATTAAGAATCCCTTGTAAAATGCATAGTCAATTTTACCAACAGCCTTTCTTAAGTATCTGTTCTTAGCTGCTTCTTGTGGGGGAGAAAATCACCACATTTTTTACAGGTTGTTGGTTTTTCGCTCCGTCTTCTTCTGATTAGTATACCCATCCTCATACACAAACGCCTCCTTGTCAACACTGGGTCACTGTAGGCTCTGTTTTTGTGTCTGTGTCAAACCTGTAGAGCTGTTTAGTGAAGAGGAAAGGCAGTTCATGTAATCGTGTTTCTACTTTCCATAAACTTAAGTTGACCGGGTCAAGTCTTTACTCGAATCTAGCGGCCCACGCAGCAGGAGATTACTTCGTCATTTTTAGAATGAACCAACTAAGAGTATACCAGTCCCCTCCCCCTTTCCCTTCATCGCAAGATTACTCCTTAACATTCCATCAAACCTCCCTGAAACTGGACTGGTAACTGTTTACATTTCAAGGTGGAGAGACACATCATGAGCACAAAAAACTTTACCCAAACCCAAACCCAGAGTTTAGCGCATTTATCACTAAACCACTGCGTCCTACACGTGACTCTTATGTAATCATTAATTCTTTGAAAAATAAAGACTGAAGTCCATAAACGAGGTAAAAAAAACTCTTGCCAATTCCATTTGCTAAAATAATTATAACCTATCGAATGAATTCCTGGTCAATAAAATAACGGTAAAATCCAAAGTGACATTGTTATTTGCAATCTTCTAATTTGATCGGCTGATTAATTACTTTTTCTCTTTTTGATATTTTATTTTTAGAAGGATCTACACATACCTACAATAGAGAAAAATACCAATGAATAAAATCACCATTGATGCGACCAGAAGACCGATGATAAGATCAATAGCATTATTTCCTCGATCGTAGATTATTTTGTCGATCAAAGGAAAAATATATGTAAAGATGATTTGTGACCTTTTTCGTTAATCTTTTATTACTATGAACTTTTAATTCAACCCCCATGGCAGCCAGCGATATCATCGAAATTCTCCTCCATTACCACAAGGGTTACTTGCCCAGTCGTCGATATTCTCCTCATAGTCGTCCCTTTTTGTAACCCGCAGTACAAACCCAATCGTAGTTATTTATTTTGTATTTGCACGTAACTCCATTCTTACACTGAGAAGTGAGGCTTTCATCAATTTCCACATCACACAGAGTACCCATATAAACCAAGTTCACAATGACAATTATTTAAGTTCCAGGGTCATTTTCACAGGATAAATCCTTGGAACAAAGCGATAATTCACATTCATCAATATCTTTCTCGCAGTTATAGCCTTCGAAACCATATGCGTGTGAACAGGAGTAGTTGTTGAAACAGTCAAGACGTACTCCAATTCGTCAATAATAGTCTCAAATTATTTTCCAGTGAAACCGAGTTGACACGTGCAGAAGAATTCACCGATTAGATCCTTACATGCCGAGTTGTTCTCATAAGAATGGAACTCGTTAATTTCTATGGGAAAATGCAAAATATTCCTTGAGGATCTAAGTAAGGAAAAGCTAATCTAATATAAGCAGGGATACTGCCCTGTGCATGCTTGTGCGCTCTTTGATCCAGGCTTTAGCAACCGCAACAGTCCTTCCCTTATACGGTAAACGTTTACGACTTTGATAACGTGGCTGGAAAGAACTTCGGTCTCACAAGAAGCACGGGGCCAATTCGGTTAAGGAAAACGCTCCAGGTAGGCAAGGAGCCATGGGAATTGATTAAAAAAACGTTTAACAACATTACCGTAGCTGAGTCTCCAGTTCTGGTTGAAATCGTTATATTGAAAAATAGACTATAGAACTGAGATTGCCTTCTAAAAATCTTCTTCAGGAATCAAGCTGTTAGAGTTATGTTCTGTTGGATCTGTAAATATTCTTATACGCTCTTAAGAGGTGATCCGTGGCCCTAAGTGGACTGTATTTGAATATGTAAATCTTTGTGTTATGCACAAGTCAGCAGTGACTTTTAGAAGATTATAAGGCCTAACTATGTTTCTGAGCTTTAGAATACATACGCCTTGAAGAACGATAGGGACCTTTAGCAAAGAGACTTTTCAGGACGGCGACGGCGCCCGGAAGTGAAGTTTTACTTCCGTTTGAGGTCGTACATTTGGCGCGAAGTCGTCTAGGCTCGGCGCCGACCTCAAATGGCTTGTTTTCACGGTGTGTAGAAAACGTGAGTAGATACGAGGCTTTGATTTGCCTATAATGGTTTTTTTTCTGGCCTTTTAGTTTTCACAACTTAAGGGAACACCTCGTAATTTACTTGAATAGCTTTTGGCATAAAACTTATTTTATTCATTGCATTTTAAAAGGACAGCTGTAGACTCAGACTGCATCCAGTCTCCCATCCTTTTCCCCATTTTGCATTCATTCTTGCCATTACCTCTGTGCCAAGGATACCAAAGGTGACCTAAGAACGGTTTTTTGATTAGTTATTCATCGAAACCAAGATATGGATGCATTATTGTTGCTGAGCAAATCAAATTCGCAGGAGGCTTAACGTCAAGGCTAGTGCTCGCGTGCAGCCCAGCCAGCAACCTATCCATGAATAAGTTACAAATAGCTCAGCGTGGAAAGGTCAGGTGGAGAGGAAGGCGGGTTTTTGACTTATCAGTCATGGTGGATTGGTATTTGCTTAAAATGGATACCTTATTTGAGTTGTTATGAGGCTGGATTTTTGGATCTCTTTCAGACCCATGTTTTGTGGCATCACTTCTAGTGACCTAGATCATTTTGGCTGAGGATGGGGTGGGTGGGGCACGGTTCGGTAAAATCATAAAAATTAGTTTCGATGAAGTAAAACATCATGATTCCCTGGTAAAATTACATCAAATGTCATTTCAACTCAACATATCCAGAAACTATCAACTAATTTCTACCAAATTGTACCGAATTGGCATGAGTCGTCATTCAAAAGGAAATGATACAGCTACCTTTGTCCTTTAAAAATACGGCTCACAAACTCAAATTTATAACGCAGCAAACTTGCCTTCTAAAATGACTCAAAATGAGCACGCTTTTCTGTTTCCACTTGCATCTTCCGCAGTGTACGTAACGAGCGTATTACCATTGAGGACGTGTGGTAGACTGACAGCTCGAAGAGAAACTATAATCTACGCTGCCAAGTTGCTGTTGTCAAGTGCAATGGGTGTACTTCAATTCGCTAAGTCTGTCGAATTTCGTTCAAGCTTACACTAATATCTGAAGGACATCCCATTAAAACCGATGGGGTTACATCTGTAAGCGTGAATCAATGCAATAATGACCGGAAACCTTTCTTGCAATTCCCTCCAGCCATCTGCTAGAGAATTCATGTACTATTCGCTCATAAGAGCTTTCGCCATGCAAAAAATAAATAAATAAGTAAAAAATTGGACGAAAGCCAAGGGGTGGGGAAATGTCTTTTATGGCGTTATAAACACGCATATAGTACCATAGCTCCCTCTTCCTAATCCAATGAGCTTATTTCCGGCCGCATTCTCGAATTTACAGAGCACCTTTTCAGGGACTACGTAGACCTTAATTCGAGCTTCATAGATCATGCAATTGTTACACACATTTGAGTAAGACTAAGAAAATTTGAATGCAATAAAAGCTTACCTATTTTAGAAATAGAATCTCTTCCTCTTGGAGTCATAAGCTTGACAGATAAATCAGTTTGGAAAGTGACTTACATGTGTTGTGGAATGCCTGCTGCATCTGTTAAAGACTACTCCCTCTCGGTTAGGAGGAATCTCTACGTGTAAATGTTACGGACCAAGAGAAATGCCATTTTCACACTTCACTATGTCAGACAAACACTTTTTAATTCGCTGCACGGCTGACTTTGTCATACCCGGCCTGTCTTGATCCCGATTCAGAAAGGAATTCCGACGTATATTTTAGATTGCGTAGAAACAAACAAAATTACTTCAAGAACGATGATTTTAATAAATAAAAATTAAGCACATCGCAAACAGAAGATGAACATGTGCTTGGAAGCAGGCGCTTTGCGAGAAGAGTGAATTTGAGGGTGGTAGAAGAGCGCTTACTGAATTCACGGATATCAGCCGAATTTAGTAACGGCGTAGAAGTGAAAAGGCGGGAACCAAGTATTTACTAGTGACGTTATTGAGTACACGTATGAAAAAACGCATATATTTCAAAGTTTGTTAGCCTGTGCAAAAAGTAAACATATATCAATTTTTTTTAAACTGCACACTGAGGGATTTTAACTCTGACCATTCGGAATGGTTGAATTTTTATTGACCTTTGATGCATGTGATTTCCCATGTGATCGCGCTGCGCGTTCCTCCTATTTGCGAAAAAATAGGAGTTTCCGATAACGCAAACGTAAAGAGAGCACAGCTTTCCACACGAAGCACGAGATGCCGTGAACATCGAAAGAGGCAAGGAAATATACATCAATGCTGTTTCAAAACCTTTATTCATAATATTTATGAAATAAGTAACGACTCACCTAAGTAACGCTTAGATATTAAATTTGAATCAAAATCATAACTCCTGAAGTACACGAACAGATTCATAATAATTTTGATTTATCACATTCGTTTTAAAACTAGGGCTACATGGAGGAAAAAAACACACACACAACTTTTTCTGTTTCTATAATGCACACCATAACTTTTTAATGTGTCCATGACCCGTCAAAATTTAGATATTTTGTTAGCATACTACCTATCATAACTCAAATTCATACAACACAAGCTTTCCTCAAGCTATCTAGAGAACAATAGCTGCTTTTTAATTTGAAAAAAGGAAGGTTGATAGGCAAGAGCAAAGGGTTTAAAAGCGCAAAACCTGTTCAAAGGTCGTTAATTAATTCTCACTGCAATGCTGCTAAACAAGGAAAGTGTTAGAAGGCTATCTTAATATTAGTTTTACTCATGGGTTTCAAGCCAGCAGGCCTTAGTCATCAAAACATTTCTAGAGCACTGAATATTTTTCACAATGATTGTATTGGCAATCTCAGCTGGCGCAAAGATATAAATGTCTCAGAAAACCATTCTGTTAGCTTATCATGACTATAAAGACTTCGTCAAGTTGTTGAGTCGCAATTCCTTCGTTATTCCCTATAGTTGTAATCAGACCGTTTAATTGGATAGTTGTCTTCAAGCGGGCACTTGCACTTCTCTCTCGCAATTTCACAATGTAATGCCATATACATGGATGATCAAGTTTGCAGACCAAATTAAATGCTTCAAAGTGAGGAAGGAAGTAATTCAAACGATCCTAGCCGAAACAGCATAAGGTGAAACGTGGTTGCAATAAGTTGGAGATTGAGATGGATTGTCCCTCTGACGACCGACTCCGGTATTCTCATATGTTCCTACATCTGATATCTCGGTATAAGTATGGTCTGATATCATTGAGGAATTACTTCCTAGAGATTGCATTTCTTGTTCATCTCGAGCACTGTCTTCTGTGAAGTTCGCCTCGAATGCTTCGTTAGATACTCCCTGTTGGGTACTGTCCTCGAACTTACGTGATTCACTTCCCCTTTTTGGTTTGCCACTACACGCATAGGGCGATCTATTAAGAATTAAAGAGATGATGATTTCTGAACTAAGTCGAGTGCAATTTCGTCTTAAATCATGTGCATCATTTCAAAATCAAAACAGTGTGCAAAAAAAGTTTCATTTGAAATCACAATCATTTCAGACAAAAATTGCACTTCACTCAGATCCATTACCACTATATTATACCCATTTTGAAATCGTATCTTTCAGTCGCTCAAAAACAGGATTTTTTTAGGTGGTATAAATGTTTTTTTTTTAACCAGTAGTAGGCTGATGGTAGATAGTTTTAAATTTTTTTTTTCATTTTACTGCAATTTGATTGGTCTATTTAAACAAGTGATTCGTTTTTGGTTGTTTTATTTTTCTTTATAAAGTAGTAATAGTAAATCATTTAGGTAGTGCATTTTTTCCAAAAAAATAGTGTAATATCTTCATAATTTTATCCTCGTGTGATTTCACCAGCCAAAGACACCTATTTCAAAGAGTCATCGTTTATTGAGAAGAACGCACCTGCGGTAATAATAGAAACCTGCTGCAGCCAAGGCAACCAAAACAATCACAACTACAACTCCGACGATGACGCCAGTGGCAGTATCTTCTTTGATAGAGATAGGTTCTGTTGACCAACAGAGACAGTCATGTCAACTACGGCTAAAGGGGGGCTAGGACGAGGGTAACAAGATTTTCATTGACTTGACTACTATAGTGTTGGCGATAAGACTGTTCAAAATGGAAGGAATGGAGAGAATCATGTTTCCCTTTACATACTGTACGCTATCGTTAAGGATTTTTTTTGTTGGAGGGTGTGTGTTACATAAATTGACGATGGAATCGTTCAAGGAATCTTTCTCAGAATATTTCGCCAGAACGAACGTCACTTGCACCCTTCCCAGTTTAATTGTCGAGTCAGCTGGCAAAGTTCGTCTGTATGTGACAAAATGTTCCCTGAATTTTCCAATTTCAAACATGAGCATTAGGTTGTCAATAAAATTTTCCTTTTTTAGTTGACGTTTCAGAACGAAAACGAGATCTAGAAAGCTTATCGAGGTAAAATTCGTATTCTCTAAGACCTGTTCTGCCAAAAAACCTTCACTGTGTTAAAAGCAAAATAATCGCGCAATGTTCTTGCTGGATTAGGCGTGGGTTCTTAACTGTTAATGATATTCATTGATTGAATCCTGCAGAACGATGTAATGTTTGATCGATAGTTATTCTGATCTAACTGTTATCTTTATAGCAGTCTATTATCTATGTTTGAAAAAGACTTTCGAAATTCCATTAGCTGGTCATACCTCTAACACAGTCTTCACTCGAAGCAGCTCCATTAGTATCCGTTGATTTTCCTTGGTCACACTTTTCGCAACTGTTCTGACCTTCCTTGTCCTGATAACTACCTTTACCACACAACGTACAGTTGAAGCCGTTTTTATCGTAATACGTTCCCACTGGGCATGCCACTGTTGAAAATCAAAAGAATAGCCAAGAATTCGCAAAGTCCTCCGAAATATTCACGCAGCAGAGTGCTATCACAAGGAAAACATCACAGCCAATAAGAGTAAAACAGCTAGCGAGGGATGAAATTAACTAAAGAGGCTGGTCACCAGCGAAGGAAAGCGCAGCCTCTTAAAGTAACGATTACGTTTAGGCGTCAATACTGATTGGTTGAGAGGATAGCACGAGTTCCTTAACCAGTACGTTTTTTAATCCAGTTAATCTAAAAAGTGACATAACCAAAGCAGATGTAACACTTACCACATCTTTTTCCATTGCTGCTTGTAACATATCCTGCACTGCAAGTGACACTAGAGGAAAGATGGTGTAGTGAAGATCTCTCAGCGGTAGTGTTCATTCCATTCACGTTTATCCTGAATTGTCCTGTGGCAACAGCATACTTCATCTGAAACAGGACCGCTTCACTCTTCTCTTGAACATCTTCGCTCAATGAGTTACTACCAAGAGCTTCTCTCACCATCAATGAGAAGAGAACCTCCATTGCATGGCTGACTGCTCGCCTTTTTCTCTTCTCCTCCGCCAATTCACATCCAGGAACGGTAAGCTTTGTCAATTGGCAAGCGTGGCATCCTGAGATTGTTGAAAGCGTTTCATTGACAGCTTTTTTAACAGCTTTCAGTAAATCCTTGTGGGTTTTTATGTTCCCACAATTAATCCCACTAAACCTTACAGAAAAGTGATGTTCTATTTCCTTGGGAGCAGCTTCACCTGTGTGAAAATGGTAAAAGGAAAAAAAAGTGATGTTGTTGGAGTGAGTCGAATATCGATTCGTTAACTCATCTCTTGCAATTCGCAATGAAAAACGTTGAGTTCATTTTCTGTGAAAGTCTTATTCATTTTATCAGACGCAAACCACAATAAACATGCTACCTTGCCATGTCAAATCATCATTACTATAACAAGATATTAATTCATTATTATTATTATCACCGTTATTATTGTTTATAGTTTATATTTTCTCGACTGTAGTCATCGTTAAAACAAATTAGAGAATTATTTATCTGACTCTTGGATATTTTCCTAATCTGAATTCGCTTGCTCATTAGCAACAGCCAAACAAGTTAGTCAGATAAATTAGAAGCTTGTTTGTTTGATGAAATGAAGGAATTGCTTTCTCGGTATTAGATAGGTCTTAACCAAGAAAAGAATTTCAGCGCAAATGTAGATAACACATGACTCTAAAAAACAGTTTAAAGAACGCTTTTCTTACTTGTGCAAGAGGGTATCCCAAGATCATCTTTTCCATTCCATTTCCATTCTGTATCTGGCCCACAGCCATACATTGTAATTGCCCCGGAATTAAATGCGTGTCCTTCATCACAAGACATGATACACAATAGTTTTCCAGATAGCTTTCGACACTTCGTTTGACCATTCCTGGGTTTCTCCAGTTTTGGGCAAACTACGAAAAAGGGCGAAATTTGTTTTAAAGTTTATATTTCCTTAGAAATGTGCGGAATGTGTAGGGCTCAAATAGTTTGACCAGAAGCACTAGTCATTTAACAGCAATTCTTTATCAAATGCACTTACTGCAAGTTTGGTGTTAGTGAAACTTCAGAACAATATCAGCATAGATACGTCAAAAGACAAATATTTACCTTCATTAACCATTTTAGTGTAAATTCTAGTCTAGAATATACTGTTAATCTTTATTCAACGGACTAAAAGATCTTATCGACTCTTTATTCTACAATCACTTCGGAAAACCTGTTCAGTTTCGTGTCTTTGAGAGCATATTCACCTTTTTCCTCGATGATTTTCTGCTTGCAGTCAGTGCCATAATACCCGTTATCGCATTCACAGTCGTATCGGTTTACACCATCTACACACTTTCCATTGACGCAGGGATTGGAACTGCAATCATCGATGTCGATATTGCAGTTTGGACCTGAAAACCCAGGCTGACACTCGCAGTGGTAACGTGCTTCACGAGCCTCACAATGGAGAAAGTGGGAGCAATTTGTTGTGCAATCGTCCAAAGCTACCGGTAAAGAAGAAAGAAAATAAACGATTTCAACCGATAGGTTGATCCTAAAAAAAGTTTGAATAAAAATCTCATCCGCGATAATTAAAGAGAAATGATTAAATAAAAATAGAGGTTACAGAAATCATCGCGATGAACCAGTTATTCAGCTGCAGACTAAAATGATAGAATTCTGAAATCAACCCTGCAAGCCCACCTGACTTGTAGAGCTGTTAGAGCAATCTTTGACTCTCGAATTCGCAGTAAAGAGAAAATTAAGTTTAGAATGAATTCCTAGGAGCAGACGACTATAACTTTTTACGGACAGAAGCTTCAAATTCAGATTCCATAAATATATTTTCCGTGTTAGAGTGTTAGCTTGTCTGTGTTTGGACAGGAGTAGGTATTTAGCTTACTAAGCTCGAGACAAACGTTTAGACTTGGTCTAATAACCTTTTTTCTAACAACTAGTACCAAGTTAGTCTGCTCCTACCATTTCTTGTCAACTTTTGCTTTGCAAAGTCATTCTTTAATAATTTAGTAAACAGCATAAGGTATTTAGTATTTTAGCATTATCTACTGAGTTAATAACGTGAGCCATTTCCCCTTGCATTTCATCAGGTTTTCCTGAAGAGAAGGAGGAGCCTTACTCAAGAAAAACATTAACTCCGGTCCAGTATCGAACTTTGGCCTCGGGATCCAGAGCTTTGCGTACAAAAGCGTCTCTAGAAAATATTGAATGTTTAGCAGACTGCATACCTTTACATTGCGTCATAAACCTCTTCTCTACTTCTCCTTTTATCCCAAGCAAGAAGCTGCTCCATGCTCGCACACTTCCTGCAATGGGCCAGGTGCAGTTGTGTGCGGCATTCCACATGTGGTCTGCTGATGCTGGCACATCCCATAGGCTAACTTGGTGCAGAGTTCCCAGGAAAGCCGTCGATTCAGTCGGATTCTGTCCATCTGCGAGATATCGCTGCCCCAGTACGATCCAACCACCTCCCATTATAATACTTCCGGTGTTTACATCCTTGGAATGTTCTCTCTCTGGTCCATCCACGTACACGAAAGTATCTCCAGTGATTCCATTCCAAACAACTCCCACATAATGCCAACGATCATCCAGCAGCCTGAAACTCGTCTTTATTACTTTATCTTTGATTTCCAGGAGGATTTCAGACTCTGTAAACGATAGTACTATGATGTCCTGCGACTGCTGGGGAACACTATAACTAAACAATGTCCCTGACTGGAATCTTGAGTCCACACGGACAAAAAGGGCGATTGTAAACGACCTCATGCTGGGAATACTTTTACCGTCTGACAGAAGGACCATGTCGTCCTTACTTTTCCGCGCAAATTTCAGATCAAAGTTGCTGCCCAGAACTGAAACGTAAAGCTCGGTTTGAGAATAAGACATATATGTTTGAAAACTAATTAAGAGGAGAGATTTCTTCACGTTTATTGAAACACGTTCGATCTATTAAACGTCAACCTGGATGGAATAACTGTCACCCGGGGAAGGGTTCTACGTTTTAACCCTTTAAATCCTGTTTTGATGAACTTAACAAATGATGTTTTCCGTTGTAACTATTCGGCAGCGGAGAGAAAGTTACATGTTCTGTACACCCCAAGTTGATGTTTCGTATGGCACTACGCATGAGTTTTGATTTTATTTCGAATAAAACCTTTCTCTTTTTTTCAGAATTGCTACCCCCCTGCCTCCATGCAAAGTTGCTATTAGTTCTTTTGGTTTGCTTTACCTTGATGTTTCTGCATTAATCGTCTTATAAAACAGTATACCGATGATTGATACTCACAGATATCACAGCGATCTCCCATGAAAGAAGGGAAGCATTCACATGCATACCCGTTAACCTGGTCTTGACAATAGGAGTTTGGCATACAAGGACTCGAAACGCAGTCATCGATGTTAACTTCGCAAGTTTTTCCTGTAAAACCAGCTGGACACGTACAGGAGAAGTATTCCCCAGCGCTTTCAGTTTTGCATCTACCTCCATTTCGACAAGGCGCAGATAAACAGAGATCCGTCAAGTTTTCACAGTTTTCCCCAATGAATTTGTCAAAGCAGTCGCACTTGTACCCAGGAGTCAGGTCAATGCATGAGCCATTGTTTAAACATGGATTGGATTCGCATTCATTGATTTCTGTTTGGCAGTGGGTCCCATTGTAACCTTCGGCACAGAGACAGGAATACCCAAGGGTACGGTCAACACAAGTCGCGTTGTTCTGACAAGAATTGTTCCTACAATCATCAATGTTCAGTTCACAGAGCTTCCCTGTGTATCCGTCTAAACAGGAGCAAGAGAAGTCACCAATGGCGTCACGGCAGGTAGCGTTGTTGAAACAGGGTTTTGCTAAGCATTCGTCGATTTCAAACTCGCAGTATTTCCCGAAATACCCACTACTGCAGTTGCAATAGAAATCTGTTCGAGAATTTACACATTGCTCATTTACAGTGCAATTACCCGAATCGGAACAATAGTCAATGGCGTTTTCACACTGGGATCCATTAAATCCTACTGGACACTGGCAAGAGAAGTTTGCCACACGATCCATGCACGTGCCATTGTTTTGACATGGACTGGAGACGCATTCATCTATATTCACATTACACCGATGGCCTGTAAATCCAGGTTTGCAGAAACATAGGAAGCCATTAACCTGAGAAGTATAAAATTCAAACCTTTAAACATTAATTTGATAAAAGATTACTGATTTCCATTAACTGATCAAGATAAAGAACAGCGGTTACTTAACCACGGGGAAAATCTTTCCACGGTGAAAAAAAATTGTGAATTTACTACGTATCCTATGTTATTTTTGTGTGTATTGTATGATGCTGTGTCCGGAGATCGTATTGAATTCGTATATGTATAGCTCAACGGAACCAAGTCATATAATGTGTCGTGAAGTACCTGATCATAACATGTCCCACCATAGTCACATGGAAAAGATGCACATTCGTCAATCTCCGTGCTACAATCGTCACCAGAGAAGCCTGGGGCACATTTACAGCTATAGCCGTTTACTTCGTCTATACAGGTGGATCCATTACTACAATAGTTTGCTCCACACTCGTCCACATCAACTTCACAATGGGATCCACTGAATCCAACATTACAGAGGCAGGTGTAACTATGCACCTGGTCGATGCACGTAGCATTGTTGTTACAAGGAGAACTTGTGCATTCGTCGATGTCCACACTGCAGTTTTTCCCTGTGTAACCCAACTTGCAGTTGCATTGGTAGTCGTTTCTCAGGTCTGTGCATGTTCCTTCGTTGACGCATGGGTTTCCCGCACAGTCATCAATATTTATTTTGCAGCTGATGCCAGCGAAACCTTCAGAACATGCGCATTCATACTCATCTATGCCGTCAATGCAAGTGCTGTTGTTCATGCAGGTAGAATTTTTGCAATCGTCCACATTGATTTCGCAGTGCTCCCCTTCAAAACCATCGGGACACTGGCACTTAAAAGACGTGTTGTCATCAAAACATGAACCGTTATTATAGCAAGGCTTGGAGGTGCAATAGTCAATGTCCACGTTGCACAGCGCACCCGTAAAACCAGACGGACATACGCAGGTGAAATTGTTAATACCATCGCGACAGATGCCATTGTTTGAGCAAGGAATTGAAGCACAGTCGTCGATGTTGTTCTCACAATGTAAACCATCGAAACCATCTTGACAGTCACATGTATACCCATTAATCATATCCATGCATTGCGCTTGGTTCTTGCATGGATTGGAGAAACACTCGTCAATTTCGATCTCGCACGTCTTTCCAGAAAATCCTTTCTCGCACTGGCAAAAGTATCCGTCTATCTCGTCAATACAAGTAGCGTTGTTTTTGCAGTCTGCTGTCACACATTCGTTAATGTCTATCTCACAAATACTACCAGTAAATCCCTTTGGACAAATACAGAGATAGCTGCCAATACCGTCGAGGCATTGGCCTCCGTTCTGACAAGAATTGCTTGCACAGTCATCAATATTCTCTTGACAGTTATCCCCTTGGTATCCCAGAGTACACACACATTCGTAGTTATTGATGCCGTCTCGGCAAGTAGCTCCATTCTGACAAGGGGAAATAAGACAATCATCGATATCAGTATCGCAGAGCTCGCCAGTGTAACCAGGTTCACACTGGCATTTGAATCCTCCGAGGAGATCCTGGCAGGAAGCATTGTTGGCGCATGGTGACGAATCACATTCGTTGATATCCTTTTCGCAGTTAATTCCACGGAAACCTTGCGTGCAATTGCAGGTGTAATTGTCAAGAAGGTCGTGGCATGTGCCGTTATGGAAACAAGGTTGGTCTTGACACTCATCAATGTTGGTCTCACACTGCTTTCCAGTGTAACCGGAGGTACAAGAGCACAGGTAGTCACGAATGAGGTCTGTACATGTTGAATTGTTGTTACAAGGGTCTGATTCGCATTCGTTGATTTCTATGGAAACATGACAAGCACAAGGAAACAGAAATTACTTAATTTTGCAAAAGACTTTTTAAGTAGCATGAGTAGATCATAATTTTTTTTTGTAAGTTTTTTCAGATACATGTCTGTTAATTTCTAGCGATAAAGTTTTGTCTTGAAAGAATTAATATTTTAAATCTAGTTTTTCTAATTATTTGCTTCTATGAGAGAGGTATTAAACATGTCTTTATATATTATTTACACAATTTGTCTCTTTTCATAATGGTAAACGGGTGTTGGCATCTTGATCCATAAATTATTTCAATTTTCGCTAAGCCGCATCACCTCTTTCGGCTTCCAAACCGAATGGACTTCACTCGCTCCTTTTACCATTATTAATCGCGTGTAATCTTCAATTTTGTAGGTTAAAATGATTAAAAAAATACAGAAACCTAATTCCTCTTATGTCATCTCACCTATGCAATCTTGTGCGGTCTTTGATCCGGGAGATACTGTTATAGTGGTTCCTGGGCATGGAAAACAAATCCGACTTTCATTACGCGGCTGGAAAGAACGCTGGTCGCATAAAGAGCACGGTGCCAATCCACTGGGGGAAAACGAGCCAGGGTGGCAAGGTCCTGTGAGAAGGAAGTGAACATAAATGATTAGGTGAGATTTTGATGACCGTTACCTTTGTTCAGGTCGTTAAGTTATGGAGGTAGCACTCTATCCGGTAGGGTGGATGTACTCAAAAGAGAAGGGGATTTCTGGAGAATTGAAAGAAACTTAAGATTCGCGAGAGATAACTGAGAATGGGGGTTGCAAGACACCTGGGTTAATAAAAAAAATGCAGCATTTTTATGACACCGTTTCCAACTTTTATGATCAGGAGTAAAAGAAAAAGATGTGAGTGGAAGATGGAGCACTTTCTGCCTAAAAAGAGCTTGATTAGGGTAACCAAGGTTTATAACCTGCGGCAAAATCAAACCATAAAATCAGTCCTCTGGCGTGAGAATTCTGCGAAATAATCACGGTAAAATTAGTTGATTTTACAATGAAAAATCTTAAGGCAAGCATTTAGGTTGAAACATAGAATTCCATCTAAAGCGATAACATTACAGAAACCTTGAATCAGCACACACAAATCAATCACTTCTTAGAAATACCTCCACACAGCAAAGAGCTATTGGAACCTTCAGATGACGTCGTCTGGTTTGCTGCGCATGGCAAGCAATTTTTCTGCCCATTCTTGTTTTGGTAAGAGCCCTTGTCGCATGGGAAACATGGTTCAAGACCCGTGGGGGAGTAGGTACCAGCTTTGCAATAGGCTTAACGAAAAATTGAAGCAATTAATGATAATGATAATATTGATATTTATTGCCATCATATAATGATATAACCATTCCTGTAATCATCAGTAATATTAACACTTGAAATTAAGCCTAACAGTTTATATCAAACGCCGTTATAAATTTACATAGAATTACTTGAAGGCACTGGGAACCTGCTGAATTGAATCAGATCAATCGACAAATACACATTAAACGGCGCAAGCAAAAGTTTTAAAAGTTGTGTGCTTGCTCAAAGTTCAATCATTCTAAAAAAAAAAGAATGAAAACTGAAAGGAGTCATGATCAAAGTCACCCTGGTAGTTAATTTGAAATAGAACTGCGACCGCATGTGAAGAAATTAAGAAAATCAACAAATTTTAACGATAGCGCACAACAAACTTAAATGATAGCGGCAAGGGTTGTCAGCCTCAGCCTTCGGCTTCGGCTGATAACCCCCGTCCTCGACCTTGATTACTCTGGATATCACAAAAACCTTATCTAATAATTGTTTAGAACTTTCTTCTATTGCACTGATGTAACTCGTTAGCAGGCTGTTGAGAAACCCTCTGCGATGGAATGCCACTATTGACACCTCAATTTGTGAACGAGAGATGATATTAAGTATCTGATGACTCCCTTGGCCGAGACATGTGATTCTTCTCAGGTTAGTCGCTGCTATTTTGGTCCTAGTTGATATTAACAAACTAAACTGCAGATTTGAATACCATCATCTTAGGGCGGCTCCTAAAAAGAACAATTAATGATTACCAAAACAACTGGAGCGGTTTGCTGTCCTCGATTCTACAGTGGAGGTTCCTGATGGGCAGGACAGACATTGTTGTTCTCCTTCAGAGTCCTGATATGTTCCGTGAGGACAATCTTGGCATTTTTCAGTCGTTTGGTTCAAAAACGTTCCAGAGCTACAGTTAACTGAGAGACGAAAGTATGACATCATAGATTAGAATCTTTTCCATCATCTATGGAATTACGCAGTAAGAGGGTTGTTCGTTCATTTATAGAATCCAGTAACAAACAATGATGGGCTTTATAACAAACTCTAATATCTTACGCTGAAGGCAATCATCTCTGGTAAAACACAACATCTCAAGGTATTATCAAGCAAAGGTGAAATTTGAGCACAAGTTATCATCATAACTTTTAGATGAATAAAGGTGATAAGTTCCCGGGGAAATTAGGGTGCTGCTTCTTTGGGGATTATTACAAGATAATTTGATTTTACAAGATTTATTTAGACCGTTAGCCCTTCGTCAGAGGGATTGGCGAAGGGCTATCGCTTGCAACCTCAGCTTTTAAAATCTTTATGATGGCCAATTTACTTTATCGACTAAATTGATAAATTCAGATTGTTATAACTTTTAGTTAACTTCTCAGGCCTTGGTAATTGTGTCAAAGTCCCCAACTGAAACATTAAATGATACCATATTATAATCGCACGAGACTTACGACAATATCCATTCCTGTAAATCTGCCCAGTATAACAAAGCTGCTGAGGGACGGAGATGTTGAGCGTTTTTATGTCAGGGACAAACTCTGAGCTATTGACTGAAAACCGAAGGCTGCCATTTTGAGCTGCTTGTTTAATCAGATTGCTAATATTGTGGGCAACTTTCATTCCTTCCTCTCCAATCATTATGTAATCTTCGCTGGTGTCGTTTCCTTCAACTCCATCAAGCTCAACTGCGAGAGATAAAATATTCAAATTACTTTGCATTCTTCCACTCCTAAAACCCTAAATCACATCAGCGTGAAAAACCAAACTAAATAAATAATCGACCCCTCCCTCACTCGTAATTTTAGCAGACATGAAACTGTTCAGAAACTACCCTAACGAGGTCCGTAATTGTTACGGGTTCTGTCGCTGTGGAGGGAATATGTAAAAAAATCAACAAGCCCCATGCGGCATTTTACCATCCAACACCCTTAGCCTGCTTTTCGACTTGTTTTATGCCTGAAAACTGATTGGAACTTCAATTTTGTTTCAAAATTTGAAAGAGTGATATTCTAAAAGTCAAGCCGACAGAAAAATATTTGCAAGCCCAAGACCACAGGACTATGGGTTAGCTACGCCCCTGTTCATATGCGTTTCACATGATATTAGCGATCTTGAAAAAATGGTCGCATTACATGCACACATCACATCACGTCATATCACACGTCGCATTACATTACATCACATCACATTACGCCATTCTTCACACCACATCACATCTTATCACGTCACCTCGTGCAACATATCACAATAGCACATTGCATCACATCATGTCACATCAAATCACATCACATCTCATTACATCATTCTCCATATCACATGTCATCATATTGCATCGGACATAACATTACATTGCATCACATTTAATTACATCATGTCACATAGCATTTCAAATTACATCATACCATATCACATCACATCACATCACGTCTCATCACGTCACCTCGTACATCGCATTACGTCACTTTATGTCACATCAAATCACATCACATCTCATTGCACCATTCTCCGCATCACAACTTATCACATCACATCGGATATAACATTATATCACATCATATTACAACACATCGTGTCACACAACATGATTTGATATAATACATAAAAATTTGCATATGCCTCAGTGGAATATTGCTGGTGAATAACGTCTATGGACTTACCAATGATCTCGACGGTGACTGTTGTTTGTAGAACAGATCGCCTTTTTCTGAAATGTTCGTTATCACCTGTTGATTTCACACGTTGAATTGCTTTCAAGCTCCTTTTGACTTATTAGATATATTAAATAAAATATACACCTCCCTAAGAGAATTATTTGGAAAAGATGTATGTTTCTGTCTCCTGCAGATGCTTAACCACAAGTTTCAAGCTAAAGAAAATCGCCGATAAGGTTTAAAAATAACTTAGATTATCTTCTTTTGATTGTTAGAAGCCAAGTTTGCGCCAACCGAACGATGAGATGTAATTCCCACTTTTCTATTCTCAGAATAAAGACACAATCCGATTTGTAGGATCTTGATCATATCTTCCTATGAGAGCTTTTGTCATTCCCAAAGGATCCTATTCCGTAGAGATTATCATGGATTTTGACAAAAATTTGAAGCAATCTCTCAACATCTTTTGAATACCCACTGAGTTTGACAGAGAATTAATATTAATGCCATTTACCTCGATGATCTTTCGCCTTTGGATATGGTTGGCATAGTAACGTGCATTCAAATAGGCTTTCTAAGCCTCCCTTAAGAGTGACAATGTCATTGTTGTTATGCATGACGATGAGGTAAACATCATACAAAAGAACAAAATTTAAAAGCGCCTTCCTGAAAGAGTTCCATGACTTACCTGTCGAACGCCTTTTTCTATTGCCAACAGACTCGTCGACCTCCCCGCACGTGACCACAACGTTCTCAGCTTTACACTTATCTCTGAAAGATGGATCTTGACAGGCTTGACGGAAAGCAGACGTGTTGATAATCTTTATAAAGAGTTCCTTTATTTGAGTCTGGGTTTCGTTTGTGCTACAATCTCCATCATAGTAGTGTAAGTCCATTGCCATTCTTACTCTATTGGGATGAGATTTTTCTGCAAAGGTTTAAGAAACAAACCATTACACAACGAATGGCACTCTGTTCGTCGGAATACTCGTTTGAGACAAATTGTAACACATATTCGGTAATTTAGCATTATCAAATGCATTGATAACGTACCTTGGCCACCGTAAAGAGTTCAAAAGCTGACGTTTCGTGCGTTCGCCTTGACGAAGGGCTAACGCCCGAAACGTCGGCACTTTGATGGAGGGATTGCGGATTGAACGGTAAGACTCTACTAGTGTTAGTATATCCGGTCCTTTCAAGGAATGACGAGCGATAAATGGTATGCTCCTGTCATTCACGCAAACGAATCACTTTTCTACTCAGAGACAACGTTCTTCCCTCTTTGGAGTGTTATATGGACTAATGCGGGCCAATATAAGTTATATTGGTACCACCAAAGTACTCTCGAGCCCCAACGACATGTTTATTTCCCCATATCAGACTTTGGGAGAATGTTTAGTCTGCAGTTACTGTGAGCTGCTCCATAAGTTCTTTTGGATTATATTCGGCTTTTCCTCTTTTTTATTTATTTGTTTATTTTTCTATAATTTTTTTTAGCATATGCTGCTTACCTGTGCAGTCTGGCCAACGATATCCAGGAGTCCAGGTACCAGATCCTCCACAAGTCCAAACGCTGTTCAACAAAGGCTCGCTAAAATCAAATTTTCTATTACAACTCGGTGTACAAAGCCTTCCGAACATCCAGTCATCACAAGAGGCAGCACCATTGATCGGAGGTTTCATTTCATTGCATTTTTTTGCTGGGAAAGGAAATGGACAGTTACTTATTTTTGATTAACTTTCTTTCTTTTTCCTTTATCTTTTGGTAGCAATTACGGCTCAAGCAAAAAAGGCCTTAAACCGAAAAAAAGGCGGGGGGGGATTGTTTGGCAGTTACATAAAGTCTTGGAATGTTATGTTGTTACCTACAAGTTCTCTCTTAAGAGAGTGCTTTAAGTACCTATGAAACGTGTTTGATCTTTAACCACGCAAGTTAGCGATAATGATAAAATTAACTGTTTAAACTGCATATATTTTCAGTTTTCTCTACGGATTTTGTTCTCTTCCAATCAAATCTACAAATAGCAAAGTTTTCACGTTTCTTCTTCTTCCAAGAGTTATCAAAAGTGCTCACTTTGTTTGCTAATCCATAGTGCCAAGGCATCATAAAAATACCTAACCATAACTTAAAATAATGGTATAATAATTTGTTTCTTAACCTGGAGTCACAAAGAGAGTGAACAATAGGATTTTAATTATTAAGCTGATGCCATTGAGGAAGTTTCTGATGAAAACAAAAACGCTTTTCTAGTAACCAGTAGCTTAAATATAAAAATTGTATACCAACAGGCAAGGATCGTATTTGGTACTTACGTCTTATGGTAAGCTCAAATTTGCAGACTCCTGGCTTGTTGTTGGGGTTGTTATCATATGCCATACAGTGTACTGTATAGCTTCCCCAGTAGAAGACAGTGCCACTTTTGCGACTGCACGTTATTTGCAGCGGGCTGTTGCTATTGTCTTTAAACTGAGGCTCTGGCCATGTTACGCTTATTTTTCGTTTTTCCGATGTGATGTTTTGACTTGGAGGGCAGAAAACGACCACAGGACCCGAATTATCTAGGGAATTGAACATAAAACCATACATCAACCTTTTGCTTTTATGAGTTACGTAGAGTCCTTCAGTAGGAACAAGACGATTTGCACAGTAAGATTACGCAGATGGAGCAGTTTCTTGTTCTTGGTTCTATTTTGGAGGTTTCTGGTGGGCAGGACGAAAGATTTCAATTCCAAACACATTGAATAGGGTTGTGAGCAGAAGACTAAGGCAATTTTGAAAGCCAAGAAAACCACGAAAATGCTAAATACACACAAGTAAATCTTCTCAATTTCATTGCAGCATTATTCAGGAGATTGTTTACCTTCTGGGATTATTCTAAAAGAGCATTTGACTACGTTGCCGCTTGGATCCTTGGCCGTGTACGCAACCAGAAGTGTCTCATTGATCACGTGAGGCGGCTTAATGCCCTGAGGGAAGACTGTCAGTTGCGGTACCACGTTGCTGTCGTCCAATGCAACTGGAGCAGTCCAGTTTGCCACTGCTGTTGAATTTGCGTTGAGGTTTACACGAATGTCTGAGGGACAATTCCTGAATACAGGTGGTGACACATCTGCAAAAATATGCAACAGACGACTGATATTTGGCAACAAGTAAACGACAACTGAGTGTGACCTTTTCCTACTTATAAAGTGTTTCCTATTAGCAGTTTTATTGGTTATTACTTATGATCTATTTGAGGGATAGACGAATATTTTATTTTGGCGTCACTTTCAAAAAAGTTTTGCTTTTTCAACAAAAAAGAATCACATTTTTACTTCGTCTGTGATCTATTACTGAAATATTACATGGCAAAATGGAATCCATTTGTTGTCTTCTACAAACACCAAGCCAGATTCAATAAATTCTACGAATCACCTCAGGGTAAAGCAAGATCAGTTATGGCAATGGCGCAATGGCAGTTCCTCAACAAAAAATCTAAGTAGCTTACCAAGACATTTTAATATCGAAGATATGTTTTTGCTCCATTTTCCATCGTTCTCACAATAGACCACAGTTTCTCCACCATTTTCAAGGAAACCATTCCTGCATTCGAAGTAGCAGGCTGTACCGCTGACTGGAGACGACTTGCACATACGGGGGTAAATAAAGCCGTACCTTGGAGAACTCAGAGAAGGACATCTCCGTACTAAGAAAAATCAATGCAAATGATGTTTTGGAATTTATTACATGTTTTTCGATTACACATCGTGGGTTAAAGTTTGAGGTTTTCATCTTGATGTTCGTTCACTCTACGCATTTCATTGAATTTAGATAAATATTCTCTTTCTCAGTAGATTCCATTTGACCTCTTTGGTTTCATCTTATGTAATTTTGATTGATTCGGCGTAACTCCATAATTATTGACAAGCATTAATTTTCGAGAAAGTTTTCATTTACAAACTGAACGTTTTTAAATTTTATGCAGTATGATTTATTCTCGTTTTGAAAGGCAGTGCTTCGGCCAATATTAATTAGTTGTGCTAAGGTTGCTGTGTCGAAAACTGAAAACGATTAACGCGAGGTGTAATCCGAGGTGTAGTCAGTCTTCCGTCAGATTTAAAAGGATTGTGTCTGTCCACCTTGATATCTGATGCTCATTTGATGTTCATTCGAATAATATCAATAAAACGTAATACCTTTTTTGTCATATAACGGAATAAGCTTATCATTTACCCTGGCAGACTGGGAAAGAACCGTTCCAATATCCTGTTATGTGACCTGGTTTCCTGAGGCAAGTGAGGACACTAGACCCATCAAGGTTGTAACCATCTTTACAAGCCACTTTGCACGTCGAACCATAAATGTTGTCACAATCTCCCAAAAAGGATCCTTCAAGCGGAGGTAGCAGTGTCTGACATCTAAAGACTGGAAAAAGGAAGAAATCTTAGGGAATGTAATATAGATCGTTTGGTTTGGGCATATCCTCAATTTACATACAATTGTCTATTGTTGTTGGGGCAGGAAACGGATGGGAATGCATTTAAAGTTAACATATAATTTGTACCCGGTAACCAAGGTCGAAAACAAAACATATCACCCAATCATTTCCTTTTGAAACAAAAAGACAAAAATAAGCGTTAAGGGTAGTTTTAACAATTGCTGATTAATTTGAGTATTTCTACTAAATAACATAAATACCAGAGAGATTTCTTGGTAAACGCTGATAAAATTCATATGTTACCCTTTGGAAGAGAAAACACTTACCGCAAAAGGAAGAATTATTTACAAACTCTCATTTAAATTGTTCGACTTGATAGATTTTATGAACTTGATTCATATTACATTATCTTTCTGATAATAACAAACTAATCTGTATTCAAGTCTGTGTTCGTCTTGATCAGTTCGGAAGCAATCATATCATAAATCATTTTCTGCTATCAATACTGTCTTACTGCGTTTCTGTTTGTTAAAAACAAATTGACGATGATACATCAAGATCGCTCACCATTTTTTTAGGACTCTACTATCACACGGGAAAGCTTAAAATAGCTTACTTTCAACGGTGATGTGAAACTTGCAGATCTTGAAATTTCCTGCTACATCAGAAGCGTTGTAAGTAACCTCGTGCTTCCCATTATAGTATATGACTTGCACGCCTCTCGAAGTCACAGTCGGTGCCAGACCAGAGTTGTCAGTGGCAATAACAGGAGGCCAGGACACTTGCGTGTAATTTCTTTCCTTGTCTGCGTACGAGTTGATATCGCTTGGGCAGGTAAAGCCAAACGAAGGGCTTTCCACGTCTGCAGATAGAATTAAATTAAAATTAAAAATAATTTTTGAGCGCTGACCTTCTCCCCTCTTTTTTTGGCATATTTTTTGTTGTTGTCATCGCTGTTGTTGTGATTGGGTTTTTTTTATACATATGTGAGGGCACCTAAAAAGATCACAACTTGTATTATTTTCTAAGCCAAAGTTTTCCATGATCTTGCTATCTAACCTCTGCACATTGCAGTGGCGTTTCTTGACCATCTTCCATCTCCAAAGCAAGTTGCTATTGGTTCTCCATGCAGTCTGTAGCCTTTTCGGCAAGAGAAAAGACAAGTGGTGTCGTACTCCGGAGACGATGTGCAAGAACTTGGAGAGATATCACCATCCTTTGGAGCTTGTAAAGACTTACAGCGGACAGCTAGGAGAAGAATATTCAGTAAGTCAACATCATTTTCAATACTAGAAATAACATCAGAACTTTGCTGTTTATAAACCGCTCTGGTTTTCATGTATGACAAATAGAATTATGGAGTGAGTTATCTTGTTTGAGAGACTTGAGAGACCTTGTAATCGCTTCAATTACGATAAGGAGGACACTGTCTCTCTATTGATAAATAAAATAAAATGAGAAAAATGAGCAAAAGGATAAAAATTAATTGTTTGCTTATTATATTTTTGGCTATTTATCTTTTTTTGTTGGCATGATTACTGATAGCGGAATGGTTTTGTCTTCCATAGCAGAATTAATCGATTAAAGCGCACGAGACAAACAAAAGCTTTTTTTTAAACATCTGTGAATGTTCTCATAAATCAAATTAAATCATGTGAGTTTATCAATTTGCACTGCCTCTCATGTCCCCCCCCCCTCCACACCCTTACCCTCACAGAAGGGCTCTTCTCCAGACCATGTACCATTAGCTTGACAGATTCTCTCGGTGGAACCATTTACACGCTGGTACCCGACGTCACAGTACAACAAACATTTGTCACCATAAGTGTTATCCACAGAGCCACGCCAACATCCATATTGTGTACAGTGGTCGGGAGGAATTAGACGCGGGCACCTGATCACTAAAAAAAGTATATGGTCAGAGTAAACTTTGTGAATTTTTTATATCTAAATTTCTTGGACTATAGATGATTCGCTTCAACTTGCAACGTGCTTTTTGCAAACGTGATTTTGCAAAGTTATAAGGTACAAAAAAAATGTTCCGACCATTTTAAGAAAGTGGCCATTTTCTTGGGATGGGGGAAGGGATTAAAGCGAACGGAAAGAAAGATAATTTTGGAATTGGACTTACAATCACATTTTGTCTCGTTTCCTGTCCAGAAACCCAAAGAAGTCACCTGGTCCTTCTCACAAACCCGGAGGGCAGAGCCTATCATCTTGTGTCCAATGTGACAAGCGAAGGAACATTTGGATCCATACTGATTACCCTTGGTGCAAAGCGAGCCTCCTCCCGCTGGAGCTTGTAGTTTATGTGAACACCGCAAAACTAAAACAAAGAAACAAACAGCGTAGGGTAAAAAGAAGGGCAGGCGCGAACACAAAGATAATATCGAGACGTGCGCCTAGTCTGTCGCCTTTATTGCGTGCCTTCCTTTTTTCTCATAGATTTAAAGTATTACTACATATATACTTTCAACGTAAAAAAAGTACCACTCTTTCACATTTACATAATTAAAATTTCCCCTGCTAGTAAGTAAATTTTTTCCCACTTGGCATTTTTCTGCCGAGTGGTTAAGGTAAAAAAAGCGGTAGGTGTCTTAAAACTGAGGTTTACTGGAGCGATTAAAGTGATACTTTCTCTCTTTTCTCAGCTTTTTAAATTTAATATTTTTGTTATTATCAACACATAACAGACCACAGGGCTGACAATTTTAACCATATCAGGGATCATTGTGACATCTGCCCATTTTGAGAAACATTTACCTTGAACAAAAATCTTGAATCTGCATTCGGCAATGTTCCCTGATCTATCAGATGCTAAGTATCGTATATTGTGTTCCCCAGCGGAAAAAGTGTTCCCAGGTTGTTTTCCATACTGTGTAATGTTTGGAACAAGGCCAGAGTTGTCTGTACACGTCGGATGGACCCAAGTCACTTGGGCTGACGTTTCACCTCTATCAGCAGTGATGACAATGTTGGCGGGGCAGTCTGCAAAGACTGGCGCGGAAACATCTGAAAAACAGTTCAAAATAAAACATAAACAAATTTGAGAGAGACAACTATAAAAATAGAGTATCGAATAACACGTGGAGTCAACTTCAGGTGAGCTAACGTAGCTTCCTCAAAAAGGGAGAAAACTACTTAATGCACAAGAGTTATGAAAAAACTCTCCGTTTAGCCTAGTGTGCTTTCAAGTAGTTTTATAGTCGCTAATAGATTTTCCCGTTTTTTAGGTTTCTAGGCAAAATTTACTCTGAAGAAATTGTTCGGTGCAAGGTTATTTCTAAATGTTAATTTTGAATTAGACCCCGAAAGGCTATTGGCTTTTGAAATGGGATCAATGTCAGTATCTGGGCAACTGCCCACCTACCCCTCCTTTAACTCAACAACAGTCAATTAATGACAAGTTAGGCTTAATTTCGGGTTAGGGGAGTGGTAGGTGGGAAGTTGCCCAGATACTGATATTGATCCTTGAAAAGAATATTATTTGTTCGCAATGCAGTTGTTGGTATTCAAATAAAACTGTTTGATTTCAGTTTTGCATGCTGCTCGACTCTCAAAGTGATTAATGATCATAGAGGAACTCGATGGTTTAAGATTTTCCTTTAATTGGAGAGGGTATTCAACAAACTGCTGCCCTGCGAAAAAAAGGAATAGTAGCAATAAACAGGTTTGTTTCTCCTTTGTTGAAATTTGCATGTTGTATGTATGTTTATTGTAGTCACAATAATTAAGGATGACTCTTTTTTGTCGTCTTTGGCATTTACTTTACTCCAAGCTCGTTACACTGGAACTGATATGAGTGCGCTGTTGCACAATGTTGGTTTAAATATCTTGTCGAAGGTCGTTAAATTGTGTTCACCTTTGAAAGAAAATTGCTAATGAAGACAAACCTTTACAAGAAGGATTTCCTAGAGGAGACCAATCGTTGTTCTGATTGCAAGTCTTGATTCCAGGCCCACCCTGTAGATATCCACTCTTACAGGAGAACCAGCACTCTGAGTTATAATTTAGAACAGCAGTTGCATTGGTACAGGATGCCGGGCCGATAATTAGTCCTTCTGATTGAATGGAAAACGGTGGGCAGGTGATAGCTAGAATAAAAAATAAGTGGTTTGTTAACAGAGATGCGTCATAGGTTATTTTCCTTGGTCGACCAGGAATTTGGAATGTTGGTTTTTGCGGAGTGAGGAAAACCGGAGGCCCTGGAGACGAACCCTCGGAGCAAGGATTATAACCATCAAAAAACTCAATCCACATTTGCGCCAGGTCGGGGAATCGAACCCAAGCCACGGTGGTGGAATGTAATGTGAGTCCTCTCACAACTACGTCAGCCCCGCTACCAGAAAAATACACGAAATGAGATTTCTCAATTCAAGGAATCATCCCTTTTTTACCTTCACACTGAAGCTTGGTTCCACTCCATTTCCCATTCTGCAGACATGTTCGTTTCAGCGATCCGCCCACAGCGTGGTATCCCATCATGCAAGAAAAGAAACAGGAAGTACCATAGATAGAGGATGCGCCAGTACAACCATAACCTGATTTGACTGCGTTACCTGGATTATCCAGAGCAGAGCATTGAAGAGCTGCAATGAAAAACTGGATTAATCAAGGGACATTTTTCATTCAAAATCGAAGACGAAATTCCATGATTCGGTTGAAATTTGGTGTATTTTTCATTATATAGTGTTCAGAGTATATTCCAATTTCTTCTTTCATGCCATATGTATTCGTGTTTTCTTACGTTCTTTTCTGACGCTCTTTTCTCGTGTCCGGTGCCCGCCCGATTCCTTACACCCTGCTCTGTATTGGCCTTTTTTATCTTTTTATTATTAAACGTGCACAGCTGAAACGTATTCTTTTAAAAAAAATCGCACTTTATGCTGGTGGTACAACAACGTCTTATTTAATTTGTTTTTATTGGACAGTTGAGAATTGTTCTCAATTATCATAGTTGTCGTTCTTGTCGCCATCGTCGTTGTCATCCTTATAAATATCGTCTCTTTCGACTTTTCACCTTGATAGACAGCCTTTTATGATGGTGGTGGCCGAGAACCACATTTCTCCGCATTCTGTTTAAGTTGACTGAACAATGAAGTCATATGGTTTTCTACCTTCACAGTGAGTACCATTTCCCGTCCAGTGCACTGTATTCGTCCCAGGTTTTTTCTCACATTTTATTTCCTTAGGTCCTTTTATTTCGTATCCTTTATTACACGTTAAGCGGCAGGTGCTGCCGTACAAGTTTCCACAGGCGGCATTCTCCAGTCTTCCGTTTGCAGGGGCGAGTAGAACGGGGCATCGAAGTACTTAAAAGTAATAAAAAGAGAGCTAGTAAAAAAAAGGCTCAGAGAGATTGTTTCTCTCAATCAAGTGTAGAAACTAAATGGAATTCCTTTGAGACCCAGTCAGTAGTTGCTCATGAGAATTTGCATGTACGAATACAAGGCAGCATCAAAGTAGCAAAGGGAAGCCGGTAAAATATAAGCATTAAATGGGTGCTTCTTTTAATAAAATGTGGAAAGTAAGTAGCCATAGTCAGTCCTAAAAAAACTGCACCGTCCTCAAAAAACGACTTAGTAGACTTAAGCAACCTAATCTACTATTGCGCTTAAGGTAGTTTCCCTTTCCAAACAAGTTTGAAAAAGGGAAAAGGGAAGTCATCCTTTGTTGTCGTTGTTTTTTTCTTGCAGTTTTCCTCTTAGTTTACCGTTTTATTGAACATCAGTCAAATAAAACACAGAAAAGCTCTCTCGTCTGAATCCAAAATACGACACCATTTGTGACCTGATGCAAACGAATAGTTGTGAAAGGTATCGCGACGATTCTTTACATTTCAAACAATTGATCATTAAAAGTCGTCACAAGTGACATACGTTCAATACGATGGTGCTAAGAGAAGATCATACGGAGACACCCAGCCTACTCCAGCCTTGAATGGCAAGATAATCCTCAATTAGCTTATCTAGACTCAGCGTGAACAGTGTCCTGACAATATCAAATTTTTACTTACCATGATCCAAATATAACAAAAGAGAAATTACCCAACTAATTATGCACTTACGTAAGATTCAGTATGTCAGCTAAATTCTGATTTTGGCATGGAGCCCACAAATACCTTGAACATTAACTTGAAAGTGACAAAACTTCGCGTTCCGAAATAGATCTGTGGCAGTGAAGGTTATCGAATGGTTCCCCTCAGAAAATATGTGCGGAGATGTCACTTGAGGAGACACAGACACGATGGCCTGATCATTATCAGTGGCTATGACTGGTTCCCAGCTTATTGTGGCCGACGTTTTTCCTTCGTCAGCAAAAACACTTCGTGCAGATGGGCATGTTTCACCAAATGAAGGGGCTTCATGATCTATGAGAGAACAGCCAAAAATTTGAAAAGTAATTTTTGAACTTGCAATGAGCCCCGTTTGGTGTAAGTTGCACTTTTAATCAAACATTTTGGACCTTGTCCTTTATTAAATAAAAAACAGATAATCGACCAACCCTTCCCATTCTGATCCAAACGTCTTGGAAATAAGATACGAGGCTTCGCTAAATCGTTTCAGTGGGTGTCCATCATCGGTTAAGCGTAAATGCAAAATTCACTCAAGACACGTTGACACAAAACCCGCGAAGATATAACAGAAGAGAGACCAATCATTCATTTTAATAACTCTTTTATGACATTTTTAACCCAGAATCCCGTGCAATTATGTGCTAAACACTTGTCATTCTATAAGTTACCCACTTGTGACAAATCCCATTGTGACAAATCCCATTGTACCTTAAGCTTACCTTGACAATAGAACCCTACATTTCTCCAATGTCCATTGTCGCACTTGCTTGAGCTGGGGCCAACGACTCTGAATCCTGGCTTACATTCATGTAGACACGTCTCGCCATGCAGAGGCTTGGTTTTGCATATGTAAGGAGTAATTTGCCCATTAACCGGTTCAGTTAGTGGTGGACACTGATGTACTAAAATGAAAATATATTCATGACATCAGCAATTTATAGTATTACATTTCGAAACATCAAAGTTTTGTGATGCTTCGCTTTCGATTTTGTTTTACTTTTGTTCTCGTTTTTTTTCCTTGCCTTTTCACGGGGAAGGGGCCTTTACTTCTCTAATGCTTGTTTGCTTTCAATTTCTCTTTCCTTGTTTGCCCGTTTGTTTACGTTTCCTTTTATAGGATGGGAGGGGCCTTTTGCATTCACTTTTTCAGTTCCCTTTTATTCCTAGACTCATCCCTCAAGAAATACTGACCTTTTGATTGAGACCAGTACCTGAATTGATAAGTTCGTGTTCAGCCCTGCCGGGTGCATTGCTTGGCTGCCCTGAGATAAGCAGGTAATTTAGTGTTAACAACTTAGTTGAAAACGTAAATTAGCCACTGCAGAGGGTAAAAAAGCTGACGTTTCAATCGCTCTGATGAAGAGCTAACGCTCGAAACGTCAGCTTTTTACCCTCTACGGTGGCTAATTTACGTTTTCAACTAAGTTGTTAACATTAAAATTACCTGCTATACTCTCCCACCGACGCAGCACCACAGTTTCTCTAGAAACTTACCCCTTTATTCATTTGCTCCGAGATAAGTTACACAACGGCTCCCCTTACATCATTAGGCTTAAAAATGTGCAAGCATATTGTTTAGAAAATGTTACTTGGGGTTGTATCGCAGTACTTCTGGTCACTATGTTATGGAAACACGAATGAAAATATTTTGCATTTAACAATAACTTTCCAATCATTCATTGCTCCATTTATCAATTCACCCTTTGGTTCTTACTGCTTTTCCCCTGTGTTCATTCATTTATTTAGCCTCTCACTTCTTCATTGGTTCATTCAAGTATCGTCTTGACATATTTTTTTACTTATAATATCGTCACTTAACAAATTAATTACGTAGCTATTGATCTAGCGTTTACCTTTACAGTTTGCTGTTGTCCTTGGATCCCATTCCCCATCAATGCCACAAACAGAATTTGAATGGCCACTTAGTTCATACCCATCATCACAGTTGACCTCGCAACGCGTCCCAGAAACCACCTGTAACTGACCTGCACATTGTGCAGATATCTGTCCATGGCTGGGAGCTGACCACTCACTGGTGTCACAGGTAATTCCTGTAAGCAGTTTAAATTGAAAGATTCCAGAGTGATTTTATGAAGTAAGCATGATCTTTTTTTATTCTAATATCTATGCGACTCTACTTCATAAATAGCCTGTAGGTAATGTAATAAAGCACAGAGAGGGATCATTGCAAAATGCCATGCTTAGCAAATTATCTTGAAAAAAAGGGGTAATCCGTGATCCCGCCTGAATAATTTTATTCTTTTATCATACTCCTCTAATACAGGCACTGATTCCCCTCTTAGAAATAAGTCTGGAAAAGCTTGCAATTTTATTTTTTTGTGTCTTTCAGTAAGGAAGGCTCATTCAATTTATATTCTTCATTCAAAGTATGAAAGAAAAACCACGTACTATCACATTTTTTCCAGTTTCTTGGAGAAATTTTGTAACCAGGGTTGCAACGACATGAGTAGGTACCATCGTAGTTAACGCATAATTGTTCGCATCCCCCGTTGCCATGGCTACACTCGTTACAGTCTATGGTGACATAACGATTGCCAGAACAGTCAAGTCCACCATGAGCTGGGGCTGGGTTGTCACAGTTTCTACTTCTGGTCTTATAACCATTGGAACATTGTGCCTCTTCCCAGCTGGCTGGGTTCCAAGGGCCCCACTGACCATGTCTTGGTGCTAAAATACATCGAGCAGAACGCTATAACATCATTGATTATTAATAAGCAGTTAATCGTCAAATTTGAAAGCGAACTCGCTCCGAAGAACCCTGAATAAGAGAAGAATGGGGCAAAATTGATTTGGTGCAGCTCACTTTTCATAGTTTCAGAAGAAGGATGAAAAACGAAGGTTTTTGTCCGTTGCCATGCCTTATTGTGATTCAGATGTTGCCTTTTATGGTAATCGCCTTAAGGTTCTAAAAGCATTTAATTTTTGCCCTCGCCATGACAGGAAAATATGCAATTCTAGCAGTGACGTTATTTCAAGATTCCGACGGATTCTCAAGGAGATTTGCCTTCCAATGCGCTAAAGTTTCGACTACGGACACCGCGACTCCTATTTTTCCATCTGTCGCCGATCTGTTTTAGTAATAAGGGGCTAATTAAAAAGGCAATTTTTGATGAGAAATTATTTTGTACAAGAAGCAGCGCTGAAACTCGCAATGAACCCTGCATTGTGTTTATGCAAGTGATACCAGTCCTTTTCGGAATAGCAGTGTCCGCAAATTCGAACTCTGAGCACATCTAAAGACAATTTTCGAGCAGCTAGGATACTCTTAGCAATCTTGAAACCTGGAAAGCGGAAATACGATTTTTATATACGTTGTTTCCGGTGCATATACTTTACCTTGATAAGAACCCTTAAGAATGACTTTCTCTCGGAACTTGGTGTTATATATTTCAAAAATGTCGAATCTGAAAATTCCTCTAGCCTCAACAATTTTGCTTCGCTCGTCGAACGCAAGGTGACCAAGATTTCTCAACGCAATCTAATATTCCATGGACCAGTTTTTCCATTATTTTTCTTAGGAACCAATCAGAATTTGAGAAAACTAGGCACGCTTTGTTGACATATTGTGTTGGGGTGTGTATAGTAATTAGTTGTTCGAGGTAACGCAAGGGCTATCGAAATCTGAATCGGTTGAACGCACATGATCAGCTTGCAGTTAAACTCGCCGACTTAAGTAAAAATCATTGATGTTAGATAAAAACCAATTTCCTTGCGTCCGAAGAGCATTATCGAAAATTCGGGAAGCGATTACAGGAAGGGTAAGCGTCGAGGCGAGACCTAATCAGATCAAAAGCATAATTTACTTCTGGACGGATTTCGTGACCGTTTACATTTGAATGAACGAGCCGCCATAAACAATTAACAAAGGCTGCATTTAGAATTTTTTTCTGCAGCTAAATTCGCGGTAATATCTAAACGAACACCACATCAAGCGATCGATTTAGATTACACCTATATTACTAACATTAAAAATTGTGCTTATGTTATTCTCGATGTCTATTTTAAGACTGGCTATTGAAGATGATTCATTGTCATAAAAAGCGGAAATGACCCTTTTCCGTCGCAGCTCCTAGAAAATAGATTATTCTTAGGCTGGATTACTGCAGACTTTATTTAAAACAAAGTCAAATAATGCGCATAATATCCATGTGAACGTT